AATATCATCATAACAGCACAAGTGTCTCTTCCCAGGCAATAGCCCACATTGTTAGAAAGCACTAACACTCAATCCCCAACAAGAGAGCAGAGACAGAAACAAAAGCAGGTAATTAACTGTGTGCAACAGTTAGAGATGCTGAGACACCATATGGCCCCTTCTGATGTGAAAAATGTTCTGGTCAGGAGGTGCCAAGCACGTCTGTGCTTTTTTGATCTTCCTGGGGTACCAACAACATCACGCAGGAAGCATTCCTTTTCTCTCAGCCTCAGATCCAGCATGTTATTGAAGAAGAATACATTAAAAAGCCAACTCACACCCATCTCTCACCCCCTTTGTACTCCCAGAGGTCCAATGCAGCAGACATCTGTGCTATTTTCTTTGTAAGACTAGTGAGGAAAAGAATGACACTGAAAAGTAGATGGCCACCATCCTCCACATTCTTCATGAATCAGAAAGTTCCCTTTGCTCACACTGACTTTCTTTCTAAAGGCAAACCGCCAGTTTTCCTCCCTTCCAAGTACCTCTTTATCCTTATGAAGTGTTGTTCTGTACCATTTCCTGCAAAACACTCCAACTAGATGAAGTAGATGCTTCTACCCAGGGGAGGGGAAAGGAAATATTACTTAAAGAACATTAAATGATAGAGGAATCATGTTAAAAAGAGCGCTGAAAATTACTCTGGAGCGTAGTCTTGAATTTATGCCATTGTGCCTAAATATTCTGGGATTTCTTGCCAATAAAATATACGCAAACTAAAAGCAACATTAAAAAAAAACTGTTTCATTCAAAAGAAACCCCATTTTTTATATACACAAAGGCACTAGACAAATGCTGCTGTAAGAGTTCTTTACAAGAAAAAAATGTTTACATTTAGGAAAGCAGAATTAGGAAGCTAACATAGGTGGTCACACTTGCTCATTGTCATTCCCAGTCCCAGCTCAGTCTGAGGATGCCTCAACTCAGTGTGCAAGCTCCCTAAGCAATTTGCAGGGCATTTATCATCATAGCACTAGACTTGTTTCCTGGTTTGGCAAAGAGTGAGGCTTTTAAATCTTCGTGTCTGCTTGAGATTAGTGATACAAGCAGAATCAAAATGTGCTGCATTGCAAAAACTCCCTCTGCACCACACCAGAATCACCAGTGCACTGATCATGCAGGGGTGTCATCTTCTCTCCCATTTCTAAATGCGATGGGCACGTTGCTGACTGTGGCTTGCACCACTTAGATGCAGAGGTATCTCAATCCACACAAACTAGAAAGAGCAAGGACTACCTCTGAGCTACACCCTCAGCATTATCAATACTTAACCAAGTTCTTGCTGTCTGCAGACTTGTCTCTGCTCTCTAGTTCTCACATTTAAGCATGCTCAAGCTTGTCATGCAGAGGCAAGGAGATAACATTTGTTACGAAGTCTCCTTAGGAAAGCAAATCTATTGTAACAACATTTACAAGTTTGAAAGATACAGTTAAAAACAGAAACACTTGTTCACAGCTAAATCCTCAGGTGCTTGCCAATTCTGTAGAGTTTCAGGATTGAATGTTTCCTAAAGAGAAGACTTCATACGTTGCTTACTTAGAAAGCATATCATCAGCCTTCCTTGACACTTCAGATGCCATCAAATCAGAATACAAGTCTTGATCAACACTACCCCCTGACAAATGCACTTACATTTTTCATTTGGGCAGAAGAAAGAAAAGAAAAGCACATCAAGTGTAAGAAGTAGCTTCAAGTTCTTGACAGGTAGTGAAATTTGGTCCTAAATATCAGCTGCAGAAGGGAAAACTAAGAGAATGGCTCCCCTTTGCCAGCACTGACATTTCACCTCAGGAGCACCTTTTGTGTAGCTATGCTGTGCTGTCATTTGTATCACCACTCTTAAGCCTGGCAGAATACAGATGTGTTTCTACAAAGCTGAGAACTTCTGGTGCTGGACTACAACCACTGAACTTTACTGCACACAAGCTCTTGTCCTACACATCTGGCCCCATCCAACCTGGTCAGCATTTATCATTAGAATCCCTTCCGTGCAGAAATGCAACGCCACTCTATCAATCAGGTCCTAAGCAAGAGCTGGTTTGAAAAATAAATTCTGCTGCAGAGACCTTTCTCCAAAACCAGTAGCTGTTAACTGACGACATAGGACAAAGGACCTCAGAGGTGGAGTTTCAGACAAGGAAGGAAGAAGGTGGTAGCCCAGAAGTCTTCTCAAACTCCATGCTGATGAGTATTGAGATGTGATGATGTTTTCAAATCCACAGCCACCACAGATATTCACCTTTCTGTCAGCATTAGAAATTAAGAGCAAAAGAACAAACTGATGAACATTTTGCACATGGCAATTCAGTCATCAAAGCAACAACTAAAACCAACTTGGACCAACTCTGTTTATGTCTCTTCTTGACAAGACTTGAATAACAGCACAGTCTTGAAATTTTGGTTTGGAGAGCTATTCTTTAAACAACGGAGGGCCACCTCATTCGTCATGTCCAATAGTTACTTGAAGGTTTGTAAGGAGTCTGCTCTGTAACACATGGGTTACTTCGCCCAACTTCATTTTGCCTTTAGTCCTGCTGGTTAGTTGTCCACCTCAAGCAATAACTATACTTCTTGCTTCTCTACAAAGCATAACTACGTGAATACAAACTTCATAATCTGTCACATAGTAAATTGAGGTCTTTCTCAAGAGCCGATAACACAGCCTATGAACATATCTGCATTTACTGTTTCAATACCATTATGGAAAAGAAATAAATAGCCTTTGAGGACATTAAGGTCCAAACACCATTACAAGTGTTGCAAGTTGGAATTTCTCTCAAGCAGTCAGGCTAAAACTCAATCTTGGAGCAGGGACTGAACACAAAGCCACTGTCCTCTGTCAGCACTCTGTACTGCCTTAGCAGCTCAGGCAAAGGAGCTCGCATCCTGCAAAAGAGGGAATGAGCAGGCTGAGTACCCAGCAGAACGGCAGCCAATTCCTTTACATTTGTGCATCATTTTATGTCAGATCTCATATACTGGGAGATGGGGAAGGAGGGAATGACACAACTTGTCAATCTCAGAACAGCAAGACTGTTCTTCTAGATGGCTAAGGCTGGCTGCCCTCCTTTTCCAAACCTTTAGATAAACAAAAGCTAAGGGAGAGCTATTTAACAGCAGACAAAGCCACATTTCCTAGTTCTACAGTGCTCACCTTCAGCATTCCAAGAATCAAGAAACCATCAGGAAAAATTCCCTGCCCTTATGCCATGAGAGCTATTTTTTCACATTTTTAGAAGCTCTTAACACAGTAGAGGTCTGCGGCTGCCCAGAAGACCACAGTCCTGTTTTACACATGGCCAGATTTGGCCACTGGCACGAGTTTTCTCCTCCCTTGGCAAGATTTCAACGTATCTGACGGAACAGCGTAACTTCTTGGCCAGAGAAGCAAAAACACACGTGCACACATGAGTAAAAGGTGTTTTACATCTGTAACACAAACTGAGCTCAGGATCAGGGGACATCCTAGCAGTTGTAGCATCAATTTCCTCCATGCTCATCTTTGTGCCAATGGCGAGTTAAGAGTCAGACCCTGGACTTCTCAGCACTTCAGTCACCATCCCTGCCTATTCATCCTAGTGTAATCACATTTCTCTATGCCAGCCAATGGCACATTTGAGGAAAATGCCACAAGCCCTTCATTTAGACCGTTTGCCATGTCTATACCCTTGTTAAGGTGGAGAGCTGTGAAGAGCCCCAAATACTCTGCATGTCCTGAAACACTGAGACCAGCCGAGTGATCTTTACAGAGGGGAGCCCAAGCTAGGGAAAGGAAGATTGAGGCCACATTTCAGAAGAAATCAAACCATTCCAGAGGGCTCCCGGGTGAAGAAGGCGTGTAGATGGATGGCATTGCCAGGGAGAAGGCTGCTGACCCCGGCAGCTGCACAGCAACCCGCGCATCCCCAGTTCTGCAGCTAGAGGAAAGGCACCAGGATGCGAACGAGGCGGGAGGTGGGGGAAAGACAGGAGAAAGGCGAAGCCCGGCAGGACGTGGCAGTCCCAGCGCCCGGAGGCGGCCCTTACCGTAGACCAGCTTCTTCATCTCGTGGTACCTGGCCCACAGATAGGTCTTGGTGTCGGCTCCCTCGGCCGGGAGGGGCTGGCTGCCCACGGCGGGGCCGGGCTCCGCTCCGCGCCGGGCTCTGCTGGGGCCCGCCGGGTGGTGGTCCCGGGGCTGCCCGGGGCTGCCGTCACCGGGGCACTGGCTGGCTTTGGGGCGGCAGCTCTGGCAGGAGACGGCCACGGCGAGGAGCCGGGGGGCAGCGCCGCTACCCCTCCTCAGTGCCGCCATGCCCAGCGCGGCCATGGTCACGCCGGACGCTGCAGCCTCGGGAAAGCCCGCACACGGCCGAGGCTGGCCGATCCGCTCCGCTCGGCTCGGCTCGGCTCGGCTCGGCTCGGCTCCGCTCCCCGCCGCCACGGCCACAGCCCGCAGCGGCACCCGCCGGGCGGCCAATCCCCGCCGCCCGGTGCGAGGGGGCCGGGCAGCGCCACGCCTCCGAGAACGGGGCAGGGAGGGCGATCAGCGGCTGCCCGCGGCGAGGGGCCCCGGACCGGCTCCGCTCACCGCCTTCCGGCCCTTTGAGGCGAGGGGCGGTGGGCCGGGGGGGGGGCGGTGGTCCCTCACTGAAGCCCCGCCCCTCCCAATCAGGAGAGGCAAACCGCCCCGAGCCGGGTCACGTGGCTGCCTTCAGGTCCTTCCGTTCCGCTGCGGCCTGGGTCGGGGAGCTCGCGGTGGAGGTGAGGGTCGCGCTGCGCTGATTGGCTGCGCGCTCCCGCCAGGCCGGCGAGGGGAGGGGGCGGTAGAGCAGGTAGAGGGGATGTCATGGCCGCGGGGGGCGAGCCTGGGCCCGTGCCGCTCCTCCGCCGGGGCAGGACGGGGCACTGCGGCCCCCTCCCGGCCTCGGTTTGAGGCAAGGCACCGGGGGCCGCTGTGCGTCCGTTCCGCCTCTCACGCCTCCTCCTCTGCCTGTTTTGTTCTTTGTCCGCGAAGCGCTGAAGGCGCCGATCCCGGCCGGTCATGCTGATGAGCAGTAGGCTGAAGCGCATCTTGCGGCTGGTGCCCGGGAAGCAGCGCTTCGGCGTTTACAGGTTCCTGCCCTTCTTCTTCCTCCTCGGGGGAGCGATGGAGTGGTTCATGATTAACGTCCGCATTGGCAAGGAGACCTTCTGTAAGTGAGGGCCAAGAATGGTCCCCGGCGGGCGGCAGGAGCAGGCCACAGGCCCTGGGAGCGGCGGAGGCCGGTCACTTAACGGCAATAGCGGCAAAGCTAGCGGGCCTGACTTGGGGCAGCAGGTCACACACCTCTTCCTCGAGTGCCGGATGACACTCCAGGTTCTGCCTCACTAGCAGGAGACACTAGGCAGAAACTAACAAGAAAACTGGGTTTCAAAGCCTAAACTAGGTTTTGTTTTTACATAAAAGCCTCACCAGGGTTGTGAGAATTGAAGCATAGGAGTGGGTTCATCTGAAATGTGACTTTCCCAATTTAAAAAGTATGAAAAAGAGCAATGAGAACTTTTCTAGTGGCACTTAGTTCCTAGAAGTTACAGCGTTTTAACGTGGAAATCTTTATGAACTTAAGAAGGATCAGCTTTACTGTATGTGGGAAGATTCTCATTTTTACAGGAAATCTAGTTGAGTCTCCTGTAGAATGAAACAGCTTCATACAGTTTCCATAGCTGACAGAGTCAATGCTATCAGAATTGCTTCTTTGCTTCATTTTCTGAAGGCTTGGGTTTGCTGTTTTCCAGTTTAAAATTTGATGCATACCTATATAGTAATAGGTTAGAAACTAAAGCACATCTATGTAGTGTAGTAGCTAGTATGTTTCAGAACAGTAATAATTGTGCAGTTTGGCCTTATTATTGCTCCATAATCCATGCCAAGTGACAAGACCTCTCTCTTTTTGTCAGTGATGGATATGTAGGTATGAGGGGAGGGGGGCAGGAAGAACAACTAGGAAGACTCTGAAGGTGGGTATAGCCCTATGCTTTGTTGATAAGCATAAAATAAAAAGCTGAAACACTGAAGCCACGCTGGCTGTCCGTAGGCCTTTGTGCCTATAATTTAATTTGCATTTTACTTCAGATAGCTTGGGCATTTGTATTTTTAATTATGCCCAAGGGAAAGTAGACAAGCAGTGACTGTATCACACTGGAAACTTATGTTTTCCTATAAAAACATTTAATCAGGACTGATGGGAAGAACTTTAGCCTGGATGGGAGGGAGAACATGAGCTATTTTTAAGTGGTAATAAAGATTTGTGTTGGCTTGAATTTTCAGTTGCCTGTCAGGCAGTGTCTGCAAGAGAAAATTGGATTGAAGAGTTTAGAAAGAGATGACAGCTTCTACATTTAGTGCTATCATGTACATGGAAAACACTCTTATTAAAAAAATCTTTTTCTGGCAGATGATGTTTACCGAAGGAAACGATCTGAGAGAGAGTATGAGGCGAGGATGGCAAAAAATGAGCTTTAGCTGAAACACTTCAAGGTGAAGGTCCTTCATGCTTCAGCTGTGTTAATATCAGAAAAAGCATTGCCACCACCGTGATGGTAGGGGAAGATTTTGTCTCTGCAAGATGAATTGTCATCCAGAAGTTTGTGTAATACACTCTCAGATGGTTTTGGCAGTTTTATTCTTCTTCCATCTACTTTGTATCTGTAGTGCTTCGTATTTAAGCCAAATACAGTAGCAAAAAGTTTGTTGTGTTTAGGTCTCTGCTATTTATTTAATGTTAGTTTAGTACTTTTAAATAAATTAAGTGAACAGAGTCTGGCTACTGCTTTTCTTCACTTGAGAAGACACTGTTCTTGTGAAAAGACCAAGGGGAAAGAAATGTTCCATACTGCATACATGATACCTCAGCCCAATGGAAATAGTAATGTGTAGTTATTTTCCTTTGTATTGATAGAAACTGCTCTGGCACCTGATTTGTTTTCTTTCGAATGTGGCATAGTTTTACTAAAGAGGACAGACTTACTGCTCAGTGTTTACTCAGCCCACACTCTTTGGGAAGTCATCCATGCATTCAAACTCCACTGCTTTCAGTGCTGTTAATACCCATTATTGCTACTCTAACTGAACTGAGCTGAGCTGTCTGTGGAAAAGCCTGATACATTTACCTAGTAACAGGCACATGTTCCGAGTGCAAGAGCAGCCCTAGCTGTATCACTACTCACTGTAATTAGTGCAGGAATAAAATCCTTCTCCAAGTTGGCATTGTATCATTTCAGGCAGCACAGATTTGTTATAACACAAGATGAAGCTTGACTTTCAGAAATCTGTTTTCTTTATTCCATGATGTGTTTGCTAGTGCTGGTACTTCAGCATTCTTCGGTTTGGCCAGTCTCTCACTAATGTGGGAAATAAGAGCAGCTGTAAGGCCCCAGGGCATTTCAGTATCAAGCATGCTTGGGGGTTAAGTATCAATTTTAATCTACGCCTAATCTTCAACAACCAAGGTCATCATTTGGTTTCTCAGTTTTATTGCTGCTGATTCCTAGTGCTGTGCGCTTTGCCTTCCCCAACAGTGTATTTCCCATCTTCTTTCTGACTCTCATCGCCGTATTTCCATCCCATCCTCCAGCTTCACCCCCAGCCTCAGAGCTCAGGCCAGCACTGGCCCACGCTGCTGTTCTGCACTGTGGGAGAAAGCCAGGAACACAGCTTTCACTTAAGTGCAGCTGAGCCCCTGCCAGTTCTGGGGTTGAACACGTCTATTCCTTCTTCAAGCTCATCTGGCATCAGCCCAGAACACAGCTCGGCATCTAAGAACAGGGGTCTCTTGTTCACTCTGCAGAAGCCACAGCAGCAGATTCTGGGGATCAGCAAAGCATTTCTGCTGAAAGCTTCCCAAATTGCAGCAGTCAAGCCAATATAGGTATCAGGCGTAAAATCTCAACTCAGCAAAGCAGCACCTGTGTATAGTCATGCTGACAAACAGCAATACTTGTGTACGAGCAATGCTGCTCACCCCTTAAGCATTACAGAGGGGACAATTTCACCACCAGTCCACAATGATTTTGCTGGAAGAATGGGTCTGTTCATACATTATTTCCCTGCTGCTCTGCATCCTGGGTTGCTGTCTGCTGAAAGACCTGTGAAGAGTCAGGGAAGTACTGAAAAAGCATCGTAAAAGAAGCATGTGCGTGCTCAGCCTGTACTTCTCTGTGGCACAGGGGTACAGCAGTGTTTTGTCCCAGCTTTTCAAAGAGTAGAAGGAAAAAAAATAGTAATCTCTTATGTACTGGTGAATTCTCCCTGGAGCATTCACTTTTTACTCTCTTCAGTGGAGGTGAGCTTTCACTCACAGATACAAAACTGCACCTGCACTCTAGTTTTGGTCAGCCCCAGCTCCTTCTAATAATGGCCAAAACTGCAACAGGCACTGCTGGGATGTCCAGTCATGAGGAATTTCCTTAAGTCATTACTGGATGTTGGTGCCTCCCACTCAGGATGAGGATTAATTACAGTCCTCCCCAAAATTATTCAATAGAAACTGAATTTGGACACTCCCTGAGGAGAGAGTTGCACAGGCTTCAGGACGGACTGGCCACCCTTCACCATTTTTGTCCAAATCTTTCACGTGCTTCACGTAACCTGAGCTGAGCCACATGGCTTACTTATGTTGCTGCATAATTCAGTGCATTCTCCATCTCCTGCTGCCTCCTTTAACAGATAATAATATGCATGGCCAGACTTCTGTGCTGCATTTATGACGCTCCCCTTGGCACAGGAAGGACCAATCGTAGGTGATGACCGTGTCTCTGAAGCCTGACAGACTGGGAATTTCTTCATCCAGGATCCAGATCCAGTGTCATCCAGATGGCACTGCAGCAGCCATCGTTTTGTTCCTTTGTATGACGGTCAACTTAGACTTGCTGGAAAGTGCAGTAAGCAAAATGAATATGAGCTTTATTAATCAGAAAATTTCATATATATAAATGAATCAGATCCCATTTTCTATTTGATATTCAGAGTGCCCAGCCATTTCAAAACACTGCTCTAATTTAGTGCATTTGCAGCCAAGATGGGGCTACGCACACCTATGGATGATCTTCGGTGTCCCAGAATGAGCAAACAAGATGTAGAAGACTGTTAGAATTAATCTCCTCTCTGCAACTGCAACATCCAGTTGTAGAAAGGTGGAGATACTGTAAAGCAGTCAAGCCAATACATGTATCAAGCATGAGAGGCAGCATTTATCCCCCCGTCACACATAAATGTGTGTTAATTAAACATAATGCTATCTGTTCTGGTTGTTTAAATAGCTCTTCGTAAATTTTATGTCAGAGTCACCTTGACACTTGAGAAGTTTCAATCAAATTTTCTTGAAGTTTTTGCTATTGAAGGAAATTTCTATCCTGGTTTCTAATTTTATTGTGCAAAAGATGCTTTTTCTGTATTAACCATTCCAGTTTATTACACAGCTACACAAAAGACAGCCCCGAGCCAGGTTAACTTCCAGTATGAAATTAAGGCTTACTGTTTATTTTCAAAACAATTAATATGGAGGCACCTGGCACTGACTGAATCATATCATCTCCACTTAGCTTCTTCCCAATGCGTCACATATTTCTCAAGGTTTACTATTCATGCTCCTTATGTCTCAATTTTCAACCGTATCTTTCAGCATCGCATATCTTTCAGCATCCCCTACCAGGCACATCTTGCAATACACAGGACAATATAAAAAGGATTCTTTACCCACACACAAGCATGTACCAAGGACTTAGATAAAATCTGGATCAGCAACAGCCAGAATTACTTGAAATCAAATCCTAACACAAGTCTTGATGGGACACTCAAACCTGGTTAATCCAAAACACTTTGCAAGCTATTTTTATTTGAATGAAAAAGACTCAGGTAAACAAAGTGATAGTACATACATGTTATAAACCTGGTTAGCAGCTTAACTTTCAGGAGTACAAGATCTAATGAAAAGCCAAGCATGGATTAACCAGGTCCAAAAACATACTCTGAAGGAAAAAAAAAAAAAGCCACCAACATCAACGTTTTGAATTTTTACACAAACAGTAAATTTTCTCATGGAAGGGAAGGGCTGAGGAAGAGAACAAATAATTATTAGTCATTTCCAACTGGTTGATGAAAACACTGGTCCTAGATTGATCTATTTTCCACTCTCACAGAAGCCAACCATTCCCCATACATACTTTTATTTTAATATGAAAGTCTTGTTTACGCCAGTACAATGAAGGGCAGTGGAAAACAAATGAGGGCTGCAAACAGCCATGAAGAGAGAAAGAGACAGATACATCTTTGTCTTTTTTCTCTTTTTCTTTTTTAAACCAGAGTCAGAAAAGTTTCTTTTGCTGGCTTTGAATTCTAGACTGCAGCCGTTACAGCCTAAACTTTAATGCAGTTGACTGAAATGCCTCCAATCTGCAGAGACATGATTTGGAAATAAATAAACAAAGCTTCAAATAATCGATTAGGGCCAGCCCAGTGGCTTAGTGGTAGCGCTCTGCACTGCCATGCGGGATGACCCAAGTTTTGTTTGCACATCCAGTCTCTTGCTCCTGGGCCAGAAAGAGCAGTGAATGTAGGGCTTCAGCTGCCTGGGCAGGAGAGAGCTGGTGCCACAAGTCTGCTCATCATTGACCTTCAGATAAATTAAACATCTGAGTTACACAGGCTCCAAAGGGAGTCCCATCCAGTCCTCAAAAGAAAATAAATAAAACAATAACTTAACTAAAATCCGTCCCAGGTTCTTTGGTGTGATTTTCGTTAATGCTGAGAAGTAGGAGAATCTGGTGGTCTATTGGTACAATCCATGATAGTTCCAAAACCTCAAAAACTAGGATTTGCTGCCTAATTTGCTCAATGTCCCATCTTTGTGGCTAAAAAAACTACAAAGTCTATGGTAATTGAAACACATTTAAGATGAGACTATATATATATATATATATATATATGGGGGTGGTCTAAGACTATTCAGATTCTACTTTATTTAATAAAACTGATCATTTACAAAGGCCAGTAAAGAATTTCTGTACCACAGGTGTGCTACTTGTAGAGTCCAAAATTGTAATTGTAGTATGTTGCTTAGCTCCAGTTTCTTCACATCCATTGCAGATCTGACCTAAACTGTCCTTAAGTGCCTATTTGTAATTGCATGGGGGTTTTTGTGCAATGACTGGAGGATTGCCATAGTAGAGGAATTAGCCAGTAAAATTAAGTAACAGTTTACGCTTGCACATCATTTCCCTCATCAGTATTAATTACATCAGGAGAACAAACCCCAGGATATCCAGTATTTGAAGAAAAATATTTCACCTTCTGCCAAATACACTGAAATGAAAATGTTCTGTACTATAGACTTCAAAACCCATTTCCACATGATGAACACCTCTAGCAGTAAGATGAAGTGTATCAGTAAATCAGTTCTTTTGGACTGAGTTGCAGTGACCACACTCCTGCCAACAATTTGTTTTCAAATTAATACAGCTTTTCCACTTACTTAATGCAATCCAAAAGTATTAATTCTTTTCCTAAAATTAAATACATGAAAGGATTTACCTTTAAACAAGTAACTTTGCTGCCCAAAAGGTTGGTTAGTTACAAGGACAGGTAAGTCTTTAGCAAGGTAGACACAACCTTGAAATTTGGCAAGAAGAGTCTACATCTACCTTACTTAAAAAAAAGAAAGAAACCCAACCCAAACCCTCTGAAGACTGCAATGCAAGTACTCTTTTTCCAGCGTACCTGGTATGCTGAATTCACACATACCATACAGTAGTATTTTAAAGTTAATTTCAGCATCAAATTTCTCAAAATTTGCATTGCAAAACTTTCATTAAGGTGGATCAATACACTTAAAGAAAGCATACAAAAATGTCCTACAATGCCCAATCGTTAACAGAATATGTGTACATTTATAAACATCACATTATTTCACTAATAAAACAACTCAATTTCTCCTCTAACTTACCTTCCAAGGCCTGGACTGGTGCAAGCCTCTCCCACACACAGACGGAATTGCTTAGGGAGGAATATTCCCCTTCCCAATGCTTTGTGTGAGGGACATCACAGAACTCCCAAAGCAGGTCATGGCAGATGAAACATTTCACACACACGCTAGCACATGTATTCTGTTACTGATTTAGGATTGCAATGGCCTTGGCTACACAATAACTGGACAGGATTGGACAACATTAGCGGTCAAGACACCCTTGTCCCGTCCACACTAGCACTTCCATGATTGCTGTGACCCACTCAGCTGCCTCAGTATTGACCTGAAATGTCATTTTTACCTAACACTAATGCGCATCTTACCTGTAGCTTCTTCTAAGAGATCCTCCCTGTTCACATCCAAGCAATTTCTGCTGGAAGTGGCTAGCACACACAAGCACATGTACACACATTCTTCTAAGATGTAAACTATGACTAATTTCACATTCCACTGTATCAATCTGTAAATACTTTGTTTTCTTTTTTCTTCTTTTATATAAAAACAATGGCATCAGAGTCTCAGCAATAAAGTATAAGAAAGATGAATCCTTGACTACACTTAACAATTATGAAATCGCCTTTCAAACAAAGGAAACATATGCAAAAAATTTGTGTATTTGATAAAGTCAACTTAATATAACAAAAAGTGAAATATGCTTATTAAAAGTGTCCTTATATAAAAATGGTCTTGCAATGTACAGTAAAATGCAATACAAATTATTGTTGGTTACCTCTTCCAACCCAGTAACTAAAACAGATATTGTTCCACAAAACTCCTTATATGCCGGTATCAAAGAAAGAAGCAATTAAGCAACTAAACATTTTCTATGTTGTATGCCTGACGAATATTGAGGGTGTCTCGGAGCATCAAGTCTCGCAGACGCCACAATGCATCAGCCATTGTGGTATGAGCCCCTTTACTTTTCAACCAGTGTGAAGGGAGTCGGCTCTCTTGTTCTTTCGATAAGTGGACATCTCGTCTTCGTGCTGAAAGGTCAAGAAATGGTCCAGTTACCTACTGGCTTTGACATTCACCACAATTTTTCTATCAAAAGGTGAGTATAATTCTACAGTGTAACTTTTACCTCTAGTATTTAAACCCATATAATTGATTCTTAGATTTATACAACACTGATGGACTTAGCCTGCTGATATACTCCCAGTCTATTGATTTGGTTTTAACAATACGTGGGTTTTAAGTAAGCAGCAGATTTATTTAGCATTTTCAATAGAAGCAAAAAATATTAATAGTTGTGAAGTATGTTCTGTCTGGAAACATCCCACCCTGTATCAAAAGCCTTACCTGCAAGGGTCTGGTCCCACTTGCTGATACTATTTGATTCAGCGCTAAGCCCCTCAATGTATTTCAGATAGGCTTCAGAGTGAAGAAGCCTTTGTGTCTTTGGTGGAGGGGAGACGAACATGGGAGTTGTGGGCTGCTGCATAACGGGCTGACTCGCTGGGCTCTGGCCGGGGTATGGAGGGGGAGCCTGCTGTCCTGGTGGGCCAAGGATTCCTATCTGCAATCACAAAGCAATGGAGATATCACACCTGGGGAAAACTGCATTTCACATCTGTGCATCGGGTCATCCTCATGCAATGGAGCTTTAAAACAGGTTATGAGCAAAGGTGTAAGAAAATTTTCCTGGAAGACTCTCACTTCAGCCAGGGCTATTTGCTGGGGGCACTGACATGCACAGAGAGGAAGGAAGTGCACACAAATCATGTTCATATTTAACACACCACATTGTTCATATTTCTAGCCTATGTAAACATACCCTGATTATTATCACCATTTACTCCCCTCTCCTATTAACTTTAATCGCTCCCTTCGCCTCCTTTGCATTTCATGCTTTCTCTAATTTGATCAGAAACTGTGTGGCCTGTGAAGTGCAGGGGTTTATTTCTAAGTGTATCTGTTTCATCGAGTTCAAACTGACCCTTTGGACAACTGGGACACTTACGCAGGATAGATGCTAACTGCTGCCAGGCAAAAATCAAATAAACTCAGTCACACAGAGGAGTTCCCGCCACTGTCATTAAACAGCAATACTGAGACCTCTTAGCACAGATATCCTGTGGTCTGGAGTAACTCAGTATTATGACATATATACTTTACTACTTTCTCACTCAAATTCTGGTTTTCTTTACACCCTCCAACTAAAATTCTGTTTCTCTTAATGATGCAAAAATTTAGTCAATAAAATTGGAAATGTGCTGAACACTTCACCTGTATTATTCACTAAGAAGGAACATTTGATCATCACTGCTACCCAAGCTCACAAATACTGAACTGCCAATGAACATTTGCTTTGTCAGTTTGTGAAATATGGGAGTAAACAAAACAGTTTTGACCCACTCATCAACAGCTGAAAAGGTGGACAGCACCCTCTCTGCATCACCAAAGCATGCAAAAACCTAAATCATGAGCAGTTTAACAGTGTGTTTAAATGACTTGTCTTAGTTGAGTAGAAGGAAAACAAAACCAAACCATTATCTTGCTTATACTGTGGAAGTTATCCCACTGGACAGAACGCAATTAGTCTAATAATTCAATCACCAAATACAGACTTACACTCTGAGTGTTAAGATATTAACTGGTTTTAAATACGTCAGTGTACATTTTGTTTATGTCCTCCCTGGGAAAGGCTATGTGCATCCCTATGTGTCTTGACTGGGATTTTGTTCAAATGTTCAATTCAGAACCTTAGAGCCACATAAGTAATGCAAAAATGACTCACCGGCTGTCCAAAAGGACTTGCTCCTGGTGCTGGAGTGCCTACCATGGGGGACACATTTTGGCCTATAACACCTATATTCCAAAATATAAAATAATTAGTCTTATTTCAGAGCAGTGACAAATACCTCTTTGGTCTTCTACAGTAAGAATTTATACTTTGATATCATTGCTCACAGTTATCTTAAGCAGATGTATGACATTCAAACATCCCCTTCCCCCCAGTGAAAAAAACCTAAAACACTTGAGGTATTTCTGAATGAAAAAGGAAAGAAAACAAAGCTAATATGACAACTACCAAATATATGGCCTGTTGAATTCATTTAAGAAATCAAAAAGTAAATAAGTTTTGGTTTTCAGGTTCCTTTCACATTACTTAGTGATTGCTTGACTAAATCTTTTCATTTATAATATAGACTTCTGGCTTGACAGGATCTTCCTGGAATCCTTTGAGAAAGGAAATGCTTATTTGCTTTAGCAACATTTAACATTTCCCTGTGGTTTTATAAGAAAACATTCACAGCAGGAGGAAATCCAAGCCACTGCATAAATTCTGTTAGATCTCAGTAACATAAAAACATAATTTGCAGGTTAAACTTAAATAGTCTTATACATGAGACTGATGAACATTTGAAATAAACTTAAAACCATAAAACTTGTTAGTTTTTCTCAAACATATCGAGGCTTTCCCCTACTGCACACAGTGCAGCAGAAAACACCCATGTCAGTCTTATATTCAAAGATGTACAAATCTAAATGAGAGTCGTGCAGTTCCTGATATACGTACAGGATATGCTTTGGTCTGAAAAAAAGGAAAGTTATGAGTGCTACTGCTTTTCTTCCTGTTTATGCCACTTCTCATATTCATTCACTGGAAAAGCTTCAAACTAGCTGTGCTCTTCCTGAGGGTTTAATTTGCATGCAGGTTTCTCTATCAGTGGTCAAAATACGTGCCAGTGCATTTTGCATGCTAAAGTGTATTTCGAATGCATTTTCCATTTGATCACAGGCCCCATTTTAAATGCATCTGTATAAACAGCAAGTCACAAGCTGGGAAAAACACTGATAATACGAATTGTGGAATATGGCACGGAATTTCTTTGGTACAAAGCAAAGAGGTTTGGTAGAGGGCACCCTCACCTTTCCAGCATCAGAGTATGGCTTCACCCTTGGCCCACCCTGCCCAATTTAGCACCACTTCATGTGTGGTCTTCCATTCCCAGGCATTATTTTTTCCCTAACCCATATCCTCTCAGGTTTAAACACCACACATACAGCCCACTTCTCCAGTGAGAAAAACTCTAAAGGAACGCATTGTCCTGGATCCATCTCCCAAACGTTTGTATTGGCTGATGCGTGCTAAGTGTCACTGCCTCGGTGAGTTGGAGACAGGTTCAGACACACAGCTCTTTTTCTGCTGGCACTATGGTGAATCTTACACACCAGCAAAGCTGCCCATCTCGTACTGATGGGTAATTTGAAAACCAAGCACACCACCAAAAAAAAAAACCAACCCAACCCAACCTAAACCAATTTACATTAAAAAAAAGTCTTAACAGAGCTTCTGACAAACACAGTTAGTTGTAAGTGGGGTTGGGGTAGGCAAACGAGACCACTTTTGCCCACAGCTTGTTTAACTGCTGAACAAATTCAGTCAGGATTTGAACATATGGGATGCACAACTTCTAAATAGGTACATGAGTTATCAGAGGTAAAAACTGAAAGAAAACAGGATCAGACAGCAAATGAACATTTTCTGCCCCATAATGGGTACATGTTAATGGCATTAATGCTGGAGAAAATGTTTATTTTTCATTCAGCCTCACTTTTCATCAAACACATGGCAATAAAACAGCAAATGTGTAATAGATATGCTCTCAAAACTTAATTCAAAATTTGGCCACAGTAGTGTATTGAATTTACCCTATTCCCAAAAGTTTCCAGTTACTGTTCTATCAACAAGGTTTAATCTGAACACTGGTTCATAATAACACATCAGTGTTCCAGAAGCCAAGGGGTCTTACACGATCAGGTTCACTTAAGTGCAGTCTGACTACTAATAAACATCAACATATTAAAAAAGAGTTCAATAAGGAATGAGAGCAATAAATTTCATTTATAAGCCCACTTTAAATAAAAACAGGAGGAGAGGAAGGACTCTGTTCAGTGTTCAAGGGTATGAATAGGCTGGTTTCAGCTTTTCAGGTCTCTGATAAACTCAAGCACTATTGTCAGGTTTTCTGGCTGGAGCAGCGTTATGTTTCTCCAGTAACCCTTCCCTGGTTTACTGGACATGCTGTTCTGACACCATTTTATATATACCTCATACATTCAGCAGTGCGTGATGTGCGCTGCAGCTGAACAAACCTGCAATGTTCAGAAACAAAAGCTGTGCCCAAAGTAAGCTGCAGACAGTAACTGTAACAACTGGTTAAACAGCAAGTACATGAAAATGAAATAAGGAGTGAATGAGGATGACATTCTTACCGGGTGGTGGGATGCCTGGGATGCCTGGCATACCTGGCGGAAGTTGGTGGGGTGGGGGCACCCCTGGGTGAAGTGGCTGCATGCTGCCCATGCTAACAATGCCATCAACTGGGCCCTGCAAAGGTGGCAGCACCGGTGGATAGCCACTTATCATGCCTTGAAGGACACAACAAATTTCAAACATGCATCAATAACATGCAATATGATCTACACAGTAAGACATGCGCTACCCACAAAAAAACAAAAAGCACCTTTAGTACAGCAAGACGATACTACAATTAGTATCTTGCAAAAATGAACAAAAATTAAAAATTAACAAAAAAAAAGTTGTAAATATGAAACACTATACTTCGGATGAATTAGTATTTAGTGAATTTATATGATTCTTATGGGGCAACAAATGCTGAGTATTCAGGTATGTTAACACAAGGAATACGTTCAGCCACAATTAAATGTTACTAACGCAAGCAATTTTAATACAGCTTAAAGCTCTGCCATCTGCATACAGATTACAAACACAACACTAACCACACAGGCTTCACGCACAGCCCTGCTATGTGGGCTTGCTCAGAGACCAGACCCAACTAGAATAAAAATAAGATCCCACACGTTTTTCTGCAGTGCATATGCAAAATGAACACACAAAAGCCCTACAGCATTCACATACTTAAAACTAATGGCAGTGACGGATGATTTTAATCAAACCATCTTCAGTATGAACTGAGAAAGTAACTCAGATTTGAAACTGGACAGCACTGGATGTGCTGGGCTGCAGTAACTTACACTCACAGCACTAGACCTAAGTACAAGGACTTGTAAGGAGCACCTGCAGCCCCTCACAGAATTTCACTGTTGATCTCTTCAAGGTGTCTTTCTAGGAAAATCAGCGCTATGAGGAAGGCAGTATTGTGCTGCTGCTATAAATTCAGTTTTCTGCATTATTCTGGTTTCAGCTCAGGTTTGCTTCTATATATGAGGTGAACCTACACAATATAGCTGCACTATTTTTATTAGGTCCTGGAACATAACTTCCTCGTCCATAACTTGCTTGTACTATGCTTGTTTTCTAGGCTTTTTGATTTAAATGGATGTGTTGTCAGGTAACCAAGCAAAGGGGTTGGAAAGACAATGAAAAGATGACAGAGGACAGAAGCAGGACTAGGGAGATGAAGTAAGTTTAGAAATGCAAAACTGCTGGGGCTTCTACAGTCTGTGCCAAGAAACTGCCCGAGCCTTTGCCACATTCCGAGTAACGCATACAAGGAACTTTCAGAACAGGTTTCTGGAATAAGACTGGCCAAAACTTCACATGAGCTTTGACTGAAAACAAAGCTGTCACAAGCTTAGGACTGAAATACATCGAGCAGCTCCAAAATACAAGCTTAATTTGTCCCTTCCCCAGGAAGAGTTACAAAGGTGAGAAACCTGAAATTCCAAAGCTTCACATGGAGCAAACAACAAGAAAATAAAGAACTGATCTCCCTCAAACCTTCATTCCCCACAGGACACCTAGACTGACACGTATTACAAAGGTCTTAGGTACCTATTTCAAACATCTGGAAGCTCATTTGTGCCTCTTTATAAACACCGTGAAGTTCGTATTTCTGATGGAAAAAGAAGAAAACTAACAAAAAGGGATGTAGCTGCTGCCTGGTACTTTCAGTGCAGCCCGAGCTGCAACCACATCTTCAATGCATTTACATATTCTTCTGAAGCTTTAAAACAAACAAAACAAAGCCCAATGAAACAAACCCATATTTATCAATCATGAAAGCTTATTTCTACATTTCCAAACAAAATACTCAACAGCTGGCTGCATTAATAAAACTGTCATCAAATCTCCATGAGAAATCTGTTCTTGCAGCTCATCACAAGATTATATGAGCAGCCACTTTCATATCCCAAGTTACCACTTTGATTTTACAATAGTAAACACCAGCAAACTATGTCGAGCTCCCACAGCTCTGATGTACGTTCTCCCAGTTTTCATTGTAACAGTGTAAGATTAAACAAACTTTTTAATGCCTAAATTTAAAAGAAACTAGAGCATTGTACATCAAGAAAAAAGCATCTTGCAAGGCATCCAGATCTCTTGGACTTATGGGCCATAAAGAAGTTCCGTGAACGTCTGATGGAGAAGTTCTCTGAGTTCAAGAAAAGCGATCAAATGATGGAGGAGGATGTGAAAGAGGTCTCAACAGAGTAAGATACTTTCAAGTAAATCTTGTGGAAACCAAAAGATGAAATATACTGTTTTTCAAGTGAGACACAAAAAATAGAAAGAGTTTAAAAAGATCCACTCGATCACTTGCTTTAAGGAAGTATTTCACAATGTTGAAGTGAAGAGACTCGAATGTCTAACCACCTGCATAAGATGATGATCTTAATTACAGGTTTGCTTTTGAGGAGCCTGCCACAGGAAGTAAGTTAGCATCTGTAGTCTGCAGGACACACATCTTTTGAAAAGCTTTAAGGAAGTGCTTATAGTATTATTGCCCACCAACACCTACCTCCAAAAACAGGAAAAGTGACTCAATGCCAAAAAACCAAGAACCAAACCAAGAAAACACAACCGCTAGAGGATGACATTTCAACATACTCTAGATTGAAGCAGGTTACTCACAAAAGAGATCGGCACTAGAGAACCTTTTTTCCCCCTTTTTCTTAATATATGCACAGACATGTGCAAACACACAAACCCACACACCAACTGCAAACAGTTCAGAGGAAAACTATAAAGAACAAAGTGAAAAAAACCCGCAAAAGAAAAGTGCAACTCAGCATAAACAAATGCTTTGTCATCTGGAGACCATGAACCAAACAAGGAATGTGCCTTCAATTTAAATATCCATGCAGCCTGTTTACTGAGAAGGGATTTAGAGACTGTGATGAAAAACGCTTCAGGCTGTCAGCTATAAATACAGCCACAGCCTGTTAGATGGGAAAGAAAAATGACAAAAGAATATATGGAATAATCGGAATGCCTTAAGGGAAAGTTAAAAATAAAACCCCAAACTCAAAACAAAATCCCCTCCAAATGCTCATTTTTACCTACTTGGCACTATTTTGACCTTCACTAAAGTAATGGATTATTTAAATTAAAAATGGGGGGAAAGAAAACCTACTGGGTCTTCTTTGAACCTATATGGCCACAGCCAATTCATTTTCTTGCCAATGTATGGCTGATTCTCATACACGAATCTCCAGTGGAGTACACTGTCTTCAGATCTGATCCTGGAAATAGTTACTCCAAGTATACCCCCTATGAACTTAAGTCAGATAACAAAGAGTAATGAGCGCAACACCCAGCAGCAGTGACCTCGTGGAAGAGTTCTCCAAGCTCAGTTCTAACCTGAAAAATCAGCTGATAAAACCAGCAATGGTGGCATTTTGTATTTGTTTCTGCAATGGTTCTAGATCCTAGTCTGCTCTGCTTACTACTGTCTGATCAGCCATGCTGTAAAGCCTTTGCTTGGATTTAAAATCAGGCTTGGATTCTGTTTGCCTCTCACCTTCCTGACAGTAAACCCAAAAATAATAATCTGCCACCTACTTTACCACTTCCACTGATGCTGCATGCACTAGAGAAGTATTCAGCTCACTCCCCTTCTGCCATGTTACAAGGGCTAAACATGAACTCTGCAAAGTGGAGTGAATAAACACGACTGCCCACAAACAGAAAAGGACAACTGCACAAGGAGGACCCTTTTTCCCTTCGTTTTCAACAGGCTACTCACTACTGGAACAAGTAACATGGGACTACCAGGCTACTGCTGCCGTCATTTATATTCATTATGAAGAAAGACTGAAGAGGTTGAGATTTTTCTTCCGTAAGAACAAAGTGACCCAAGAGAGTGTTCAGTTATGAAGGGGGTTGATATAGTGGATGAGGAAAAAATGGTCATAGCTCCTACGTTTTACCTGCAACGGGTGTCAACTGCTGATTGAGCATTCCCATTGGTGTTGGTGGCGGCACCACCCCCATAAGAGCCCCGACAGGAGTGCCTGCCCGGGGGGAGGAATTCTGCTGCTGTGCTGCTCGCTCTCTCTCCTGCTGCTCAGCAACTTTAGCTGCCCGCTCTGTAAAAGTATTTTAGATTTTCAGTTCTGTTTTGTAACCCAGAATTTCAAAATATTATCTGTTCATTAAAAAGGACTAGTCAAACACTGGCATAGTTTAGTCAAATATAAAGTAGAACAGATGAATCGTTTTGTTTTATACAGCATATAATTTGATTTCATGTGGCTGCAGCTAAGACTTTTAGAGAACCTTTCATAAAAAATATTCCACAAAGTTTTATCTCTTTCTAAAAAAATAATAATTCATATAAATAAATAATAAAATAAAAATTTTTTAAAGTCAAAGAACAAATTTGATAATAACACCAGTGTTACCAACATGAAGCAGCAGTCCAGCACTAGGCTCGGTCCGCACTTGGAAAACAAGGCAAAACGTTTCCTCTTTTGACACCACTGGCTCAGCTAAACCAGTTGCAGCCAAGGCCAGCAGCTCTCATATAGATCCGCTACCAGCTGCTGAAGGGATTTTATACACCATGTCTACCAGATGTGCCCTAAAGTAAGATGCAAATAGCAGACAGCAGTGCCAGCTGGTGGCCCCTTTATTCTCGTGCTCCCCATATATTTTACTACTGATGCAGCTGAAAAGTGGTGGCAAAGTTGGGAAGCATTTGGGAAGCTTCTCTAGTGTAGAGAGGTCCTCAGTGTTTGGAACATAACAAGCAGCAGTTTGATAAACCAAAAATACTTTTCTCTGCCTTTTTCTGTCAGTTTCCCCATCTGGTCCCCTTTGAGCTATTATTTCTTTTGTTTTTCTGAAGATGTCTAACTCACATTGTGCTGCTCACTGGAGGTCATGTGTGTCCTTTGTACGATGAATCTGGTCATTATCTCAACCAAGTTTCCCACTGTGACTGCAAGAACAAAAGATCTACTGCAGGGGAATCTGACCAGAGGACAATTTGATATTAAGGGAAGGGCAAAGGGTGATGGGAAGACGAAAGAAAAAAAAACCCAACAAAACCCCAAGCAAACAAAAAAAAAGGAGATCTACTGAATGCCCACTCAAGGTGCTCTGGGGGCATGCAAGCAGCTGATTTGTTCACTCTGAACGTTGTATTTGACTGACGCAATGAGGAACAACAAATAATAATGAATGCAGCATACACAGGCAAATCTTAACAGTGAAAGAAGGGCTAGAAGTTTTCTTGCAGTTGGTGAAAGATGAAAACTGCCACTAAACCAGCAATCAAGGTCCTCTGTCAAACAAAGGCTAAGAAGTAGTTCCTCAAGGAGATTAAGTTATGCATCCTGCCATTGTTACTCGTTATCTCTAGTGTATGACTTAAAATGTCTATCACACATTTGTTTCCTGTAGAACCTGTTTGTGCAGCTTCTAGCACAACTTCCGTACACTGAAAGACCAGTTTCATTTCCAAAGGCAATTCCTTCCTTCTTTTCACTCTGTCATTTTAGGAAGAGATGACGACGCACAGAAACTCCTAAACTGACTATAGGCAACTTATACGTGATTGAACACAAAACACACAAGACATTTTAAGGGTAGATACTGAAGCAGAAAAATTAGATGATCCTCTTCAGAGGAGAGCAAGTATTTGGGGAAAAGATGAAGCAGCTGTTCTGACCCTCACCTACTTCTGGACAGCTAAAAAAAAAAATGGTCAGACAAAAGCAAAAGTTCTGGAGACACTCTGATGAATGAGAAATTACTGTTAGTGTTCAGCTTCATCAGACTTCAGAGTGCTGAGATTTGAAGAAGGGCCTGATGCAGCACAGTACTCGAGTTTTACCTAGACTCTATCCATGCTGTGATTGCCATGGAACTAGGAGATGAAATGTCACTGCCAAAGGGAACTGCAGCAGGTATCTAAAAGTTCAGCCTTGAGCATTCTTCCTAACACTCAATACTAAACCCAAATCGTTTAGGCCAGGACTTAAGATCATTCAAACAACATCTCTAACACATCTCAAGAGCCAGGAAAGAGACCTTCTGCTTTGAACAGAGCTTTTCCTTAAAACAGGCCTTTACCTCAGTCCCATGCATTATGTTATTTTGAGGAGCTCCCACAGTGCACTTAGCCATGCAGGCATTTCCAACACAGCCTATTCTTTGCTCAACTATTGCTAAAAAACAACTATTGCCCTGCACATACACCAAATGAAATTTTCACTGGATCAAAATGGATCTAAAATGCAAACTACTTTTTACCGGAACATGGAAAAGCACTTTTTCACTGAGATGTCAAACTATGCTTGCTCCTTGCTTTCTGGTGCACATCCACGCTAGAGAGCATGTGAATTTTGACTCATCACAGTGGAAGGAAAGGACTTTCTCTCATTTCACACCTGGCAAGCAAACATAGTTTGCACGCTTTGTAACCCCATCCCAACCCCTCAAAAACCAAAGGTAGGTCCAGTTCTGGGCAGACACCAAGCTAAAGAAAATGCAGCCCAAAAGCTCTGGAAAATTTTAATTGAGAAAGAGGATTAAAATGGAAGCACATAGGCAGTCATTAACACAGTGGACAAACAGTGGCTTCCTGCAGAAATGCAAGATGTCAAGCTGCTCTAAGATAGGAAGCAATGACATGCTAGCCATCCTAGTGCTTAAGAATTAGGCCGCAAGGCAAGATCCATCAATAAAAAGATACCACATGCACGTAGAGGGGTGTAAAAGAGAACTACAAAAGGAAAAAAGGCCACAGTGCTTTCACAAAAAAAGAGCATTACCATTTCCCTTCACAGCAATTGCAAAGAAAACTTGCACATAGTTGAGTGGTGCTATATTACTCTCCAGAAGTGCAAAGAGGTACTACTGCAAATTCAGAAAGGACTGAGGTGGCTGAGAGTGGAAAGCGATAGCATGCAAATGTCTAGTTTGAAAATCAAAGCTGCCTTTAAGTTATGAGTATGCAAAAAACCTACTGAATCTCATTTTTAAAAAGCAAAGTTGTAACTTAATTGGGCAATAACTATCCAGGGTTGTGAAACTTTCCTATCCAAAGCAGCATTTCCTGCCAATAAAAATGCAACAGTTGCTTAAAAAATGGCTTTTGTATTGGAAGTCATTATTAAGTAGACATTATTGGAAGACATTAACTAGGGTAATAACTATGGATGTTAAGCCAATGTATATGTCTTGGGTAAGGGCCTGCTGTTAAGGATCACCTGTATTTTATTTTAATCACATAAAAGCTGAAACACAATGACCAGTATCAGGAAGAAAGGAGGAAAAGAAGGAGAGACAGAAGGGGGCAAAGCAGAGGGCAGAGGAGGGGGGCAGAGGAGGCTCTAAAGTGTCTCGTGCCTATGAAATATTCCTAGGCTTACTTCAGGATATGAAATCTCAGTAAATTCAGTTACAACAGTTGACTCAATCTGAAGCTGAACCACAGAGGTCATATTTACAGTATCATAACAGACTGCATATCCTTGACTTTATCAAAGCTTTTTAAGACTCTAAGTATTGTTAATCAAAAAACTCTTTCCCAGCCTTGCTTACCTGATGCTACAACTCTGAAGAGCTTCTTGTCCAAAATTCCCCCCAGTCCTCCTTTAAGGAAACTTTCACAAACCATTTTTCCAACTGACTTACAGCCCAGGGACTTCTCACTTCTTTACTTCTAATTTGCCCCATTTTCTTGGTTTCTGTTCATTTGGTTATTTGTGGCAAAGACATTTAAATTACCAGTTGTGCACTACATAACTTAAACATGCTCTTTGCTCCTCTTCAGTCATCTCTCAATATGAACTTCTCTTTAAGGTACGTTCAGAACACAAAAATAAGTATCTTCTTTTATTAAACCTGTCATCTGAATAACAGCAATGAACATATTGAGAAAGAAAAATATCAGAAAAAGAGTTTAGCATCTTAGTTTTTATTTACCTTCATATTCTGCTTTCTTTGTTGCTTCCAAGTTTCTCCATTCAGTTCCTACAAGCCTGCTGAGCTCTCCAAAGGAGTAATCTGGGTGCTGAGCTTTAATCACAGCTCTCATCTCACTGCTAAATAAGATGTACCCACTCATGTTGATCTTCCTTTTTGATCCCTCCTTCTTGGTGCTGCCCTTAACAGACTTGGGAGTGGACTGTGAGAAAAAGCAGTTATGACCACAAGTGTACAAAGGAGAAGCTTCTCGACATACAAAACTCAAAGCTGTGAGAAACAGTGTTTTTAAATATTCCTAGTTGAACTTACTTGCACAAGGTACATCCTACCTTACAGCCCTAAAAAGAGACTGCAACTACTGATGCATGACAAAAGCATATGTACACACAAAGAGTACACAGGGAAAAATAAAAAACATGGAAAATGGCAACGTTCTGATGCTTTTCAATCCTTCCACACATTTATGACTGTGGATTTTAAAAATTCCCAGTAAGACAACACAGAGTGCTTACTATTAGCTAAGATCATTCCAAACTGAATGAGAGGACTAAGAAAGGCCGAGTAGCAAATAAGTGATTATTGGGAATGCCAGAAGAGAACAGAAGTAATTGTGTTGTGTCACAGATTTCACTCATTACACTGTTCACAAACATTGCCAACACAAGTAAAACATTTTATTTGCCACTGCACGTTTTAGGAAAATGCATCCCCATTTCTTCCTCAGGCTTTGCAACCACCACTCTTCCTGGCTCCATCTTCCACTCTTCTCATCCCTAAATGCTCTCCATTTTGCCTGCCAGGATTTCCTTTCTCTCTAGTGTTCCCCTCTCATTGCATATATAGTCATTTCTCCCTGTAAAACCAAAAGCCGCTTTGCTGATCACTGTTTACCTGTACAACAGGTTCACATCACACTCTTACGTTGCTGGTTAACAAACATTCTGCTCCTTTGCTTTTCCCACAATGGATGCTCCTGTTGAGAGCTCCTTGATGTTTCCAGCCATCAAGAAATTCCACCTATTCTGACAACCACTGAGATACCAGAGCTGGAAGCCCCTTTCTGAAGGCTCCTTCCACCTATATTTGTCACAGGAGACCGTATTTCACCCATACTCTGATTACTAAGCTCCACAAATGCTTCCTCATACCAAAACCCTCAAAAGGCCCTTCTCATAATCCCAAACATTACAAATTTCTCACATCTTGAACAGTGCAATTGTTTCCAAATACCTGGTGGGAAAAAAAGAAAAGAAAAAGATATGCAACATTTTTCTTCCTATCCTGAAATTCTGGTCATGTTACTAACTCCTACTTGCCACTATGACCCCGCAGTTCAACACTCTTCTCTCATCTAAAAAACAAAGCTTCAGCGATATCAAGATGCTTAAAAAGTCTTGCTCATCAATTTAAGCTGGGCACTGGATAAACGGAGGCATACTCGTGCGTTATTCCACACTTCCCTGTGTTAGTTTTCAAATGGCAATCTACCGTTAATGTTTTCATTATGAATCTAAAGACAACACTTGTCTTTTTGGGAGGAAGTCTTCAAGGTTTGTCTCTAAGGTGGAGGAAGCAAAGTAAACTCCACAGAGGTTCTGGAATGACACACAGGGTACATGCAATTCGTCCTGCCTTCTCAGGCAAGCCGACATTGGCAGATGGAGAGTTCTCAATTCAGGAACAAGAAAATCCAGTAATACTTTTGGTCTTTTATACATCTGCACTTAGACAGCTGAAAGGTTATAAGCTGCTTTTGCCTTTATAGTGCTTGCAGCAGTTTTGGTCTAATGTAAAAGCCTACCCATCAGTTTGGAAGGACAAGCAGGAACTTGAGAAACCAAGAATTTTGAATTCAGTTCTTGTATTCCCTATTCTTTTGCATCTCCAATACAACCATTTTGAAATGAAGAAAATCTTCTCCATTTGAGTCAGACAACTGCATATTCAGTTCTAGATGTGTTAAGAGAAGAAACAGACAAGGATCCCTTTTATGCCTTTTCTCATCCATGTTGCTAAAGCAATAAATTAAGTTGCACATCTTTTTCTTTTTTAGGTTTGACTTGCTTCACAGCAAACTGCAGCAGGAGAGTATTATCCACCTATTTGTTAAGCCCCACAATACCACTTATTCACTTGTCCTGCCTCTTCTATGCTTAGGTGTACAATAGCTTCTTTGTTAACAGGAGAAAAAAAATAAAGATTAATAGTTCTGGGGTTTAACAGTTGTTAATAAAGATTTAATAAATAAATAAAACATTTAAAAGAAGATGAAGGAAACACATACCTTTTACCTAGGACCTCTGTTTAAAGAGACACTTCACTTGGGACATGAATAAAACACATTATCCGAAGAAGAAAGTGTATTTCTGTGCTGTATGTTAGTTATCTCTCCACCAGAGTTAAACCGTGCTCTGAATGCCAGCTCAGACACAACATGCCTCTTTCCAAATCAGCAGTGTGAGGAATCTGCCAGGGCTCTTTGTGTATCATCATTTCCTTCTTAGCACGTATTGCTATTGATCCCTTTCAGTTTTCCTTATTTGATTTTGGGGTTTGGGTTTTTGTTTGTTTGTGGTTTGGGGATTTTTTACTTCAATTTCTGGACTTCAGAGTTCACATCTGTCTAAATGTACTGTTAGGGTCGTGAGGCACTGGAATGGGTTGCCAAGGGAGGTTGTGAATGCTCCATCTCTGGTGGTGTTCAAGGCCAGGTTGGATGGACAGAGCCTTGGGTGAGACGGTTTAGTGTGAAGTGTCCCTGCCCATGGCAGGGGGGTTGGAACTGGATGATCTTAAGGTCCTTTCCAACCCTAACTATTCTGTGATTCTATTCCATATATACATATGCTGGATATATGCACTGAGCCTGACCAGTTATCCTAAAAGCTCTGCAAGACTGTCCCATTACAAACAAATAAAAAAACCCTATGCAACTATCAACTTGCCTTTTTAATGAGATATTATATTAGTATTTAAATAAAACTTCTCAAGGGAATCTGGGCAAAACACACCTATGTAGAAAGACACAAAGCAAAGGAGATCAAAAGACAGGGAATGCTGAAGAAGGCAGCTGGACACGTTTACTGTCCAGTGATCCCCATTTAAACTGCTTTCAGCAGCTACCATGTGCTTAATGATATAATAATTTCATTTATAAGAAGTTACCTTCCCCTTCTTGAAGCGGTACATTAGTTGGTTAATGCTGGTAACATGCTTTCTGTTTGTAATACTCTGCTAGAGTTTTCATGCTACTTATGAAATTGACTGATATGAAATTAAAACAACAGCAGCAAAACAACTTTGCACAGGAAAATGCATTTGGTGGTCTGCCCACATGGCAAAAAACCCACTATCAAACCCAGCTAAAGCTTTCAGTTTCATGAAGTCTTTTTTCATGACATCCAGGGGTCACATCTTTTCCTCACTCACCAAAGAAGTTGTCATTTCACAGTCAGTGTAATGCAGCAGAAATCCATAACTGCTGGTTACAAAAGGGTCTGAAACTCCCTCCTGTTCCCAGCAGGTAATTCCCATTGCCTCTTTAACGCTGGCATTAGCTTGGATGTGGCAATATGATGAGACAGATAAAAGGGCTTAATCAAGTTGCAAACAAGGTTTTTTGGTAAGGTTAATTACCAGCTAAAGAAGTTCCTCTCCCTGGCTTCAATACTCAGTTACATAAATACCAGGGCTTGTGTAAGAAACACAGCTGGAGAGGGAAGGGGATCAAAAGTCCCCCAGGTAAGCAGCAGCTATGACTCATACCACATTAAAGTGGCATATAACCACACACAATTCCTTTTTTTATTCCCTATACATTTACCAGAAAATTAATACTAAAACTTCTAGTGCATTCAGTTCTTCTAATTTTTTAACAGGTTTTTATTTCCAGGTAAGAATGGTTCTAAAAAAGTGACTTTTTTCCTTCAAAGATGATGCACAACATTTTCTAAATATGCAGCAAAACTGCAACACCCAAAATGTCAGACTTTTTCAAAAGTTAAGGAAGGGCTTAAAAACGGGTGTTGGGTAAATTGAGAATTATAATTAAACCCTTACATCCCAACTTCAGTTTCAATATAAGGACCTGATACTTCTGAGCAACTATCATAGGAAACCTACTCATGAGAAATAACATTACCATATCATACAAAAATTATTTCCGTTAAAAATATTTTAATGAGCTTAAATATTGTCACCTGGATATCATAATAGATATGCTAAAACTGTTCTATGTACCTTATCCCACAGTCTCATAAACTGCAATATAAATCTCTTGTGTGTATATGATAAAATGTTACTGTTTCTTTGTTTATTTGGGTTGGGAAAAGAACATGGAATATTTAAAGGCTTCTCAAGGAAGACCCTTACCTGTGGGGGAGTGTAAGGCATTATATCCAATTCACTAGTTAACGGGGCCTGAAGCTGAGGCATAGAAGGTGTTTCAGTCATATCACCTTCCTCTTCTCCCGTCTCTTCCATGTCCTCATCACCTCCTTCTAACTCAGCAAATTTTGCTTCTAGCTGCTGAATTTTCTTTTCCAACAGAGGAGATGGTTCCTTCTGAGGAACTATGGGTTTTCTGAAAGGTGGAGGAGGAAGAAAAAAGGCAGGTGAGAATAGACTCATCCCTTACAGGAGATAGCATATATTTTGGAAAAGAAAACCAAAGGGTTTTTCCTTCCCCACTGAACAACATGGGAACAATGGTGACTTAGGTTGTGCCTGTGCCTCCTTTCAGAACACTAAGCAGAAATCATTCAGTGTCCATGACACTGTTTCATTTCCGTCACTTGTTAGAAGAATTTACCTATTTTTTTTGAGTTAGAATTTCAAAGCAGCAAATACTCCCTTTTCTTGATAGGAGGCAGTCAGCACCACATCTTCCTTGGATTTTAAATTTTACTTCAGTTAGAGCATAATATTGTTACTAATATCAATGTTCATAAACTGAAAAGCTATTTGTTACCCATAATGAGTATTGAAGTATTTTAAAGACATCCAAGAGAACTTACCAATCTGATAATGCAACTACTTTCCCTAAAGTCAGGAGAAGAAAAATAAGACATCCACTGGTATTAAGACCACGAAAATGCTGATGTTATCCGAATTCCTTCCCAAAGTGTGATTAGTCACAACTCATCTTCTCCTACAAGTGTGTCTTTTATATATACACTGGGTCTAGCTGGGGTAGTGTTAGTTATCTGCACGGTAGCCTGATGGTGCTGTGTTTTGGATATGTGACCCCAACAGTGTTGATAACACATCGATGTGGCTGTTTCTGCTGAACAGTGTTGGCACATCATCAAGGCCTCTTTTTTTCCCACTCTGCACCACTAGCAAGCAGGCTGGGGTGGGCAATAACGTGGGAGGGGAGACAACCAGGACAGCTAAGCCAAACTGACTCAAGAAATATGTACTCAATACCTTATGACATAGCTCAGCAATTAAAGCTGGGGAAAAGCAGGAGAAAGGGGGGCACTCAGGACTACAGTGTTTGTCGTTCCAAGTAGCCGTTATGCATCCTGAGGCCCTGTTTTCCAGGAAACAGCTAAACATCTGCCACTTACGGAAAGCAGTGAATTAATTCCTTATTTTGCTTTCTTTGTGCATGCAGCTTTGCTTCACTTATGGAACTGTCTTTATCTTGACGCAGCCTTGATTCCTTTTGCCCTTATGATTCTCTCCCCCATCCCACTGCAGGGGAGGTAAGCGAGTAGCTGGGTGGGGGCTTAACTGCCAACCAGAGTTAGACCACCACAATACAGAAGAGTGCTCAGGTGACCCCCCTTCATTCCCATTCCATTTTTACCTAAAATAGTATATTTCATCGTCTACAACTTTTGCAGAGAGTGAAAACCTCTTCAGTCCTTTAAATTTCTTCATTTGCTTGTCACTTTCATTGTAGCGGCTCTCACAAAGGAAAACATCGTTTTCAGAAATTTCTGTTGGTCTGCAGGAGAGGAAGTCTTTGAACGACAGAACTACACACTTTCCTGCAGAAAGGAAAGAGCTGGGTAAGAAGGCAGCCACACCTGCAGATGTTTTACAGAAAGTGTGGAAACTCAAGGTTTTGCCAGTGTTAGAAGTCTGGACGTTTCCTGGTATTGCATCTATAGAAAATACACCAATCGATATCCTGATCAAATAATGCCACTCACAAGAAGCCTACGTGAACTTAATGCAGCTTTTGGATTTGTTTAAAGTACACGAAAACCTGCAAAATAGCAAAACCCCATGATCAGGAGTCACTCTAACTATATTTAGCACTGCTTCATAACTACAAAACAAAGTACACAGTCATCATCGCATGCAACAAACTGATTTTCAAACCTCCTTCAGGATCAACTTTCCAGGTAACACATACTGGAATAATTACATTAATAAGTGAGAATAACAAAGTTTTCTGTTCTCCGGTTGCAGACAGCGTTCACTTTGGTATCATACATGTAACTCCCTTATAGAATGAGCTTCCTTATAGTGAATTTTCTTATTACAGGTCCCAAAGATAGGAATGAGTAGTAGAAATGGACTGAATAATGTCTCCTCCCCCACTCAATATGAAAACAGAGTTCTTGGACTCAAGCCCACACATAGCTGTAAATCACTTCAGACTGTATAGGAAAAGAAAGAAGGTGTCCATTGGATTTAAAGTTGTTAATAATTACCCAAAATGCAAGTCATCGGACAGGTCTCCTCCAAGTTACTCAAAAACACTTCCTTCTTGTAGAACATTTTAGTTGGTTCATGCTCAGTTTCTTCAGGATGTATAAAGATTGGACCAAAGAAATATGCAGCTCCATCACGCACCCACATCTTTTCAATTCTGGAAAGAAAACCAAACCACTGACATAAATGAAAGGCCATCCCTCAGAAATGAGACAGCTGGATGCACTACACTGCTCAGGAAGACTGTTAGTAAAAAGCAAGCAGAGAACAACAGGTTATTCAACTGTACAACTGTATCACCTTTTCATTAGGCAGCTTAACTTCTATCTCAATCTATTAAGAGTTTGTAACATCTAGCTTCATTCAGAAGATGTTTTTTCCCCATCCTCTGTTATAATTTTTGCAACAAGCCCATCTTTTGGTCAAGTTATTTTTATAGACGCAAATTGCAAATAAAGAAGTTGCACCTACCTTCCTACTCGAGGTCGCACTAACCCATGCGATTTTATGAAGACACAGTCCCCAACCTTAAGCCACATATCATTGTAGCAAAGTTGTTCAAAGTAATGGCAACCAGGTTCTCCATTGGACATTTCTACTGGAACATCTTCTTTGTCCTGCAGAAGAATACCCATTGAGAAACTTGTGGAAGAAAGAAAACCAAACACATAAATAAAAATATACCAGGTGCAAGTAAAAGATTTCTCTACCTTTAGGTTACCAATAATAGGTAAACACCACACAGAGCTGTACAAGTGAATGTGAGGGGCCTTGAAATTTAAAACTGAAACAGCAAAGGTAAAGATACCCTCTATATATGCTGCAAGCTTTCCTATTTCACAAAGCTGCATTTTTGCCAGAACAGCAATTTACAGGTCCTTTCCTGTTCTACTGCTTCAGAGTTAACTGGCCAAGCCATGTCAGCTTATTTTGATGGCTTGTTTTAAAGCACAGTAACATGTTTAAGAGGCAAGTATTGAGTAGGCCAAGTTAACATATAAACAAATCTAATGATTCAACTCTCATAAACAAGAATATGAACACTCTATGTATTACTTGCAAATTCGTAACATCTGCACTATCAAAATTCTTACTTGTTAAGTCAAAAATCACATTGTGCCTCACTTGACACACTTGTCTTGACAAGGATTTCAGAAAGCCAGTGAAAACACAGGCTATCTCCCCAGTGTGTGGCAAGAAAGGGCCCCCACAAGTTTTCAGTCTCTCCACAGAAACAACTCCTTTTGTCACAATATGAATAAATACAATAAAGTATCTGATTAAAGCTGATGATTAGTGTGCTGGGTATTCTGTTCTGAGGTTCTGTTCAAGAACTCAGCATGAAGCAGATTTATTTCATGATGGTATGTTTGGACTTTTTATGGCTCTACATTTATTTTATATAAATTTAATTAAATTGAATTTAATACATTTATTTGAATTTATTTTATGCCTATAAAGACAATAAAATAAAACATTTTATTCAGTATGTTGGAGAGAAATATTCTTAAAACATTTTGACAACAAACCACTCTTATCAATCATAAATGGGTCACAAAGAACAGAATATTACGTATTGCATATGCTTGCCTAGCTACTATTTCATTGAAATACTACAAAATAAAGCATTTCAGCATTGCAATGAACTAAGATTAGGCTGTTAGTTCTACTAATTTTTTAGGTTTAAGGCAAGTTTTACAGTAAAAGTGCAATTTTATTTTCTGAAGTGTGAAGAAACCTAAACCCCTTCACACAGAATTATGAAATCACAGATTTCATAGAATAGTTAGGGTTGGAAAGGACCTTAAGATCATCCAGTTCCAACCCCCCTGCCATGGGCAGGGACACCTCACACTAAACCATGGCACCCAAGGCTCTGTCCAACCTGGTTTTGAACACCGTCAGGGATGGAGCATTCACAACTTCCTTGGGCAACCCATTCCAGTGCCTCATCACCCTTACAGTAGAGAACTTCCTCCTTATATCCAATCTAAACTTCCCCTGTTTAAGTTTTAACCCATTACCCCTTATTCTATCACTACAGTCCCTAATGAAGAGTCCCTTCCCAGCATCCCTATAGCCCCCCTTCAGATACTGGTAGGCTGCTATGAGGTCTCCACACAGCCTTCTGTTCTAGAGGCTGAACAGCATGGGAAGGCATTTGCAGAATCTAGGAAATACATACACAGTTTATTTTCTGTCTTGTCAATTTATTTTTTGTTTGTATTTGTTTACAACTGGGTATAACACAATTTTTAACTGAAACATTTATTTATATTTTACTGTATCTGGATACTGTGAAACTGAAGTCAGGAGGGCTCATATTTTGTCATTCTTCATCTGTCAAACATAATTCATGTTCCACTTGTTATCCTACATACCTTTTCGAGATGGACACTTTCTCCCATCTTACTGTCCTCCAATGATTCCGACTGTTTCTCCTCATCTACTTTGTCTGTATTTGCAAACACAGAAGCAACACGGACCACAGGCAGGGGCACATCTCGTGGGACAAACCTTACAGAGCTCACAGGCATAGTCCACAGTTTGATCTTTTTAAAAGATTTTGTCTTTGCAGAGTAACGTGACTCGCAGACGTACACATCCTCATCCCTGAAGCTTTCAGGGCACAATTTAAAATACTCCTGCAAGTTGAAGAGAAAACATGAACTATTTCAGCAACACAAACGCATACAGCACACACACACGGAACTCCCTCTCATGCTTCCTGGGTTTTTTGTATGTTTCTATCAGAAGAGGTTTTAGACTGATAAAGCCTTTCTGCCGATCTTTTCTTCCAGTTTGACATCCAAGTTATATTAAAAATTAAAAGCAAAGAAGAAGAAATCCCACCCTTAGAGAAACAGCTAAATGAAATACAGGTTGTCACGTGAGAAAAGTTAGGTTTACCATTCATTCTCTTACCAAGCCATTCAAGCCTTCCTCTCTGCCAAACCTCAACCCACATGCTTTTATGGGAACCTTTAAATTACCAGCAATTTCTCTACTACATGCTTTGAAAAATCCATTAGCTACTTACCTAACAAGCACATGATTCTACAAACCAACCAGCAGAAAACACCATAATATGGATGACCTGCTTACCCCACGCAGCAAATGAAGAATTCAAACAGTATACAGGAGCAAGTCCTATTTTAGCTAAGTATTAGTAGAATGTCTCTACGTTAGAATGCCTACAGCTCTTCAAGAAAATAGCAGAAAACATATTAGTTGCTTAACAAATTAGCCTGAACAGTCTCTCACCTTGACAAACATGACCACACATTTGCCTAAAATTTTGCTAACAGGAACTTTATTGTAATAATCACTTTTAAAAACTTCTTTCTCCAAGAACTTTCGTGTTGCGAGATGAAATGTTTCATTTGGCCGATAAAACCAACACCCATAGAGCCATTTCTCTCCTTTCAAAAAGAAAGACAAAAGAAAAAAAGTAAAATAGCATATTCTCTGGCGCATGAGCAAGAATAAAACAATTATAGATTGACCAATTAATCAAATAGTCATGCAGTCATTTATAACAACAGTAAACTGTTTTAGAACAGGACAAGATTCCTTAACTGTTGCAGGTAAGAAAAACTAAGTTGCTTAGAAAGCCTGCTCATTGTTTCTTCCTGTACAAAATCTGACTCAGGAAAACAAAGGAGGAATCAGTTGTTATTTACAAATCTTGACTCTCAGGCCCTGAAATAGCTTCAGAGTCTACACAACAATCACCTGATTGTCTGAGGAACCTTAGATAACTGGTTTCAAGTTTTTTAAGAACTACTGCTTCCATGTTATACTGTGACAAACTCAAAATGTTCATGATGGTTCATAAAGAAGATACAAATATGTACAGTTTTTGCAAAATAAAAAAAAAAAATTTGTGATCTATAGGCTGAGCCAGAATAAAAAGTACCATTCGCTTTCTCCATCACAGAGAAATCAATGTAAGAAACATCCGACTGGCCAATGGTCCATCTATCCAAATACACTGCATCCAACTGAGTGAGCATGATAGGCTATTACAGGAATGCATTAGATCATAGCCACTCCTACAGTCACTGCATTAGGGGTGCTAGAGAACTGTTCTCTTTATCAAGCTATTATTTGCTGGTTATTCCCTTCATTATTTGGTTTAGACCTGTTGTACATGGACTTGTCTCACCCTTTTTTGAGCCTGCTGATATAATCAGCATCCACAAGCTCCTGGGAAAGCCAGGAGGCTCACTACCCACTCTATTAAAAAGCCAGACACTTTCACATGTTTCAGTCTGATTTATTAGTGTCAATGAGTGCCCTCTAACTCTAGCATTGGTGGATTTCTTGAACAGTATTTCTGCATTCAGTTTATCCACTTCATAATTTTGCAAACCTTAATTATATCCTGCCTTACATTTCTCCCCTCCAAATTTAAGTCATGGTCTTTTTAATATGCCCTTATAGCACATTTGTTTCATCCCTTTAAAAACAAAAGTGCAACCAAATGGTTAACTGCATTATACCCCATTGTAGTTCTGAGCAACTGTAGTTTCCAGGATTGCTGAGAGTGCACTATGCTTATCTTGCCATATCTCTAGCTTTTCTTATACTTAAGAGAAGTACCTGCTGCAAACAGAAGGCATCACTGATGAGAAAAAAACAAGACAGTACTTGTTATGGCTTGAGTTGGCTTAGGAGATGCAAGACTCAGCTCAATTCTGAAATTTAACAAAGCCAAGTTCTGAAACTGAGTTGTTCTGTGGGACATTTGTGGTTAAACGTGCCCAACTTTGGTTCAGATTTCTCAGCACAGAAAACCCCCATGTGGTGTTCTGCACCTAACTTACAAGGAGCCCATCCCACTTCAAAGACCCTATTCTCAGGGACACTATTTAAAGGTAGGTAGAGATGAACAACAAAAAAAGGATGTGCTAATCCAAGAACTTCATGTTTGTAACATTCTTTGGAAAAAGCAACTCAGAAACAAGAAAAATATTCAGCATTCCACACATACTTCTGCACAGAAAAAGCTCAAACTGGAGGTTTTAAATAGCAATAAGGAGAACTTTCACCATATTGCTTTCCTATAGCAAAGACATCCTTACCAGCTGAATCTTCCCACAGCCTCTCAATACAGACTATGTGAGGTTGCAAGTTGGCTTCAGCAGGCTCCACGTACACATAATCTCCTACGTGATACATGCTGTTCTTGAAGCTGCAATCCTGGCTGTAGGTTCGATGCAAGCTTGACAGCCCAGCTGATCCAGAAGAATCCTCACTCTTTTCAGCTTCTTATTTCAAGAAGGGAAAACCAGATATTAGTAATTAGTAATGCCACTTTTCCATGTTAGCCAAGATTACAGATATGAATGCCCCCACACCTTCCCAAGAGCAGAAGTGCCACACGGTACCCGGTATGTCCCTCTGTCACTGACTTCCAGCATGAAGAAATATTTAAGCATGTTTTGTGCTGCTAGCCTTTCTGCTACTGGTGCTGCTCAAGGTTGGGTTTCCTGTCTTCAGTTAAATTTTATTGAGTCTTCCCAATTAGTTAAAAAGAACTCAGTGACAGCCAAGAGCTCTGAAGCCTTCAGAAAGGCACGTTTGCTTCCTTTGGGGCTTTTGGCTCTCAAAGGCAGACAGAAAAAGGACGTCACAGCTGTTGTCCTCTTATAATACTCAGCCTGGTTGGAGCAACCAGACTTCACAGCTGCTGACATTAGTGCTATGTGGGAAGATGAACCGTGTTAGAAAGACAATTTAAGGATGAAAAGCTGACAGCTCTGCTCCCCTCTGTGGAAAGCAGCAATTACAGAGCTTTATTCATTTCGCTAGACATGCTCCACAACCACTATACTGACAGTAATAGCCAGGAAGAGTGAAACACAAAGGACCTTCACAGCAAGTTTCCTGCCCTGCAAAATAGTGCAAGCCTCTTCACACTCATACTAGCCAGGTAAGAAACGCAAAAGGCTTACTTAAAAGCCATTTCTTCAGCAGTGTTAAAAAGCATGATCACAAACAACACCATCAACACATAAAAATTCCCCAATATTGTAAAAAAAAAAGAAACGATTAAAAGATCAGCTGGAACAGTCATTGTTAAGTTTATGATAAGCAGAAAGCTGTACTAAAAAGCTATTGTTTTCTTTTACAATATCCTTCACATAAGACTACTGGTACCCCAATGTGTTCTGATTAGAGTTTACATACACTTAGTATCTACATATACCTCCTTCTTTAAAGCCACCTGGCCTGGCTGATAATGATCAAAACAAAATAGATCTTCCATAACTAAATTACAAGATCCTTGGTGAGCAATCAGACTATTAAGGTTGCTCCAGGAGGCAAAGCTGTAGCAACAGCACAGCATACATCATATCCACAGGTACTTTTTTCAATGAATGCATTTAAAACTAATGAAAATAATGTAGCTACCTCTCTTCTCCTCCTCTCTTTTGAGCTTATCCTCCTCTATTTCTTTGGGCAGCTTTTCCTTCTTTTCCTTTTCTACATCATTGTGAAGATGCTTGGTGGTATAGCTGAGAGCAGGTGACAGAAGAATCTCTCCATTCTTACAAAGTTCATCTCTAATTTTAATAAAGAACTGCTGAAGTTCAACTGCATCCTCATAAATCTCTGAATCAGTCCTGTACAAAAATAGATACACCAAGGCAGAAACATAGCTTATGCAGACTGAAACAAGATCCTAAACACAGAGCCATCAATTGCCACACTTGGTGATAAAACTAAAGCTTCACACTACCAACAGATTTGTGTTTGCTTAGTAGAAGCAGCAGCAGACACTGGCAAATCATGTTCCACCTGCTACTCTGCTGTCAGTATGTTTTAAAGTTTATCCAAAACAGTATTTATGTATATACCAGTCCTGAAACACCAGAAAAATCAAAGGTAACTAGTTGCAACCAAAACTATTTGCCACTGGATCTCTACAATTTGTTAACTTCTGAAAACTTAAGTAATAACAGTATTATTAACAAAACTGACTTATTTTAATTACCCATACTCCTGTTGGTAGATGTTTTAATATGATTGTTTAAGCCCCCTCCTTCAGGGGTCAAGATCTCAACTGCACATCCCCAAGCACCCTACCTAATCTAAGTAAAACTCTGCAATAAGTTGCAAGTGCTCATAGTTTTTGCACAATATTACCATAACTCCTTCAATTGTGATTGCTCCAAAAGAGTAATTCACTAGTCAAGCAGTCAGTGAACAGATCCTCCTCTTCACTTTTCAATGTGACCATTAGCACAAACCTGGTTATCATGAGGTGTGCCTCTGGAAGATTAATGTCAAAATTATCTCAGGGTGGAAACCTAACTTTTTCCTTGGTTTTTAAATGAAAGCATACCTTCCATTGAAGATCTGATAGAGCTTTTGAGATTTAGTTTCTGAACATCCATATCAAGGAAAGAAAACACCTTAAAAAAACTTCAGCCTCTGCCTAATGTTAACATGCAAAACTCATGTGATAAGACAAAGGACCTGAAAAATACGGCTTCACTCACCTGTTCATTCTCCTTGCCCTCTCCAATACCTCAAACATATTCTCCTGGAACAAGTCCAATCTCCTGTAACGATTATTTTCAACATTTTTTCGGATAATATCAAAAGTCAGGGGAGGTTTATTTGGGAAGTTGGGATCCACAGCAGGAATCTCAGCTAAGGAGTCACTGTAGCATCTGCCCTCATCATCCTGGTGGCTCATGACAGATACAAAAAGGTTATGGATAAGTTCCTGAATTAGCAAAGTGACATTGGGCACATGAGAATCCTCATCTCCTTCTATTTCTCTCCGAGTTTCAAGCAAAACTTTATGCAGCACCAAGGCATCTTTATAAATTAAAGATTCTGGCTCATTGTATGTGCAAGCATTATTGAACATCATTACAAAGTCCTCTACCATGGAATCAATATCCTGGTATTTATTTGCCATCATATGGCTTCTGATCTTCTCCATGTCAACAGGCTTTTTAATGGTCACATAGTAGTCCGGAAGTTCAGACCGAGATGGCAGCCTCAAGAAGATGGCACTCAGTCGCCGGCCTCGTTTATCGGTGTAATTCTTTACTGCTTCATACACCTCATTCAATTTCTGTTGCATTGGAGTCATGTATTTGGATTTCTTAGGAGAAATGCCACTTTTTCTACCTAAGCAGACAAAAAGGGAAAAAAATAAAAATCATTACAAAACCAGAGCTTGCACACTCCTTTGTCCATCTCCTTTCCACTGGAGAATTGCTTATTGAAGAACAACTTTGTGGTATGAGCAGAAGAGCCACAACATGGAGCTTATCCCCAGTTGCAGCTTCCTTTATTTTTCATAATTGTATGAATTTTTTTTCAATGTTGTTTTTGTCAAACACAGAATCATATGTTACTATGTTGAAGGTATTTTCAGACTTAAGCACAGAAAGCACCTTTTCTTACCTGATGTTATTAATGACTTCTCTAAAGTCAATTTGATCTTACTAGCTCTACAGGAATTTCTCTCTGCAGGCATTAAAATCCAGTCATAACAGGGTTTCTGCTATCACTAAAATTAAGTATTCTAAATAGTATCAGATTCCTTTAGGACAGGTTTATGCCAATTTAGAGAGGATTATTACAGGTAAAATGTAAAATAAGACCTCCCATGGGATTATCAATCAGATTAGCTTTTAGGATCTCTGTTATGGTACTGCATGGTCTCTGCCTGTGAATTCTCTAGTACCTGTACCTTACCTAAGAGCTGCACATTTCTATTTTCAAGAAGACTCTGTACAGTTATTTTCTTTAAGCCTTTCTGTGCAATTTTGTCCTTCTCAGTTTGCTCAGTTCTGAACACATTTTAAGGGGACATAAGATTTGAGCAGTAGCAAGTCTAGTTTGTGAGAGTAACAGCTCTACGAACAGACACTGTTGGAAATTTCTGTGGTTTTCACGTTTTTCTGTATTTTTCTAAATAAAACTCACATTTCTTTTATGGTTCTGTGCAAAGGCACAGATTTTCTGTGCAAATCAAACACCTGGGAAAACTCTTCAGGGAAACGAAGAGTTTTACTCAGTCTGAGAAGCACCTTACTTGTAAGCAATCCCAGCAGCACACATTAAGTGTGCTAATGAACTGCTACTGAGCATGTAATGCAACATCTAACATTTGGATGACACCACTTGACTAAATGCCAGCCACTCCAACCATTCTTAAGTTTTCCTTCTTCATTCCCAGTTACCTGTCTTAGAAAATGCTATATGCAACAACTAATTATATAAATTATATATATATATATAATATACATAAATTATATAAATATTAGATAAATACACCGTTGCTGTCATGATTTTGAAAATACAATTCTGCTTTGCATGTAAGTGTAAATTTGCAGGTCGCATCTTCTATTCTAAAGGGAAGATCTGTTAATCTGTATTGTTGGGTATTCCGATGTGTTGACATGAGACATAGCAACGTACAAGGCTGCCTTACTTAGCTTTAGTTTAGGGGATGCAACATCATCATCTTCAGCTAGGGGTCCCAGTTCTTTCCTTTTTTCTTTAAGGATCTTTTCCAGCATATGGGCATCATTGTACACCTATTAATCAGTAAAGAAATCAAAAACCAAAACAAAACAAGGATTACTGTATTTAAACTACTTTGGAACTAGCCCCCAAGAAACATTTACATGTTAGTTTGAAAAAGCTGAAAGCAAAACAAAATACTTGATTGAAAGCAAAACAAAATACTTGATTAAAAAAGAAGGGTTTATTTCTTGAATGTTCACCTTTAAGAGACTTCTGCAGGTAGGCAGAACTGATCAACACAATCTAAATAAGGGAGATATAAATCTTGAATAAATTACCTAATTGAGCTGCATTTCTATCCCAAAGACTATAAAACAGCAAGGTGCAGCTGTCTTATCAGCCTTCTCATCAAACCATTCTGGTGAGCAATCTCCTGAACTACTGTGATTCCAACAAGGTAGAAAGGACTAGAACAGTACTCCTGGGTCTTCAAATCCAATCCCAGTGAATCCAACCTCATCATAAAGTCCTTTACAGTACCTGATCAAATTCCTTATTACAAAGAGTTAGAGGTTTCTTACCACCACTCTGTTCCAAAACATATGTTTGCTGGCTGAGAAACATTACAACATAGACACACCCTACAATCTATTTGTAAATGAAAGTGTATTCTTTTCAGACTCCTTTGGCTAGGCTCAGCAAGTCAGGTTTTCTAGTCTGATCTCTCCCACACTCTACCTCCATGAAAACAAAGATGGTTTCTTTCCAGCTAAGATAACCCTTCTCAGTAGTTATGCGCTCCAAAACATACACTGATGATTGCTCCCTGTGTTATTAACTGAAGATGAATAATGATAATGTAATAACTGGATTATTTTTTAAACCATAATAGGAAACATTCAGCTGATACTCTTTAGTGGACAGTTTAGCTAATGAGAAATAAATCTAACCTTTACAAGGGAGCCTGCTGCATTTCACATTTATGTAACTATAGACAGAGCCAGGATTTAAAACATTAGCAGAAAAAAAGTCAAGTTTCTATTTTAGTTCAATGAACAATAGCATAAATAATGTGCGTAACAGTCTAAGCTAAACCATTCTACCATAACTTGTATGTCTGCAAAGAAGCAGAGGTGACTGCAGAATCAAAACAGTACCTGGGAGCCTTCTTCATTATAATGCCTTGCATTTCGGAACATGAGCTTCATGTCTTCAATCATGCCTTCTTCCCCTGCGTACTTATCATTGCGGATGTTGTGTTCTATCATTTTCAAGTCCATTGGCTCCAAGATAATTTTATAATAGTCTGGATAGTCCTTTTTGGATGGCTTAACCATAAACAGATCACAGAGCCGTCTGCCTGTGCCTGGCTCTCGAGCTTCCAGAACCGCATTGTATAAAATCTTCATTCGTTGCTTTCGGATATTCTTTTTACTGTTAGGTTAAGGAGCAGAACAAAAAGGAAAAGCAAAAATGTCAGGGGTTCTTCTCCCCATTTCCAACATTAATATCAAAATGACATTACCCTCTACCATGTAAAAACACCACAAGCACCTGAACACACACACACACACACACACACACACACACACACACACACACACACACACGAGGTTCAACATCAAGACAATGTACTAGAAACATGAGTCCACTTGCAAGTAACGACAGCATTATAACCAGCAGTCCACTAAACAAACAGGAAACCAACTTTAAAATGCGATTTTTCTCTCATTCATGTTAAGTGTTCTACAGGATAAAAAATTAAATAGTTTCCAAATGTGCAAAGGTCAAAAGGAGCTCTAAACGCTTTGCCGCTGCAGAGAAAAAAGATTAGTCTGGACTAGGCACCTGCATCCGTGACCCCAAGATCTAGTGTGAAAAGGGAAAACCCCCTCAGACAGCATCTTTATGACTACTTCTGCTGAATGCAGAATATCAAAGACTTGAGATATTTATGTCAGTTATTCTGTATCTTCTTTAGTACTATTTATAAGAAAATAAGAACATCAAGAATGTAGTATAAAGAAGGGTCTGAATTGCTTAAACATCTGCCAATCCCAGTCAAAAGAAGTTACAAGACAATCAAGCTTGCCAAAACTGCAAACCCACGTAGAAAACGGCCACGTACATAAATCTTCCAGTCCTACGTGTAGCTATTATGGTTGCCTCAATAAATTTGACAGCACACCCAAGACATAGCTTATCAGGAAACAGTTATGTATGACTCCCTGTAGATACACTACATGATCTACAAGCAAATCAGATAAGGGAGAGGAAACTTATGTCAGTAATGTCTAGGCTCATCTCAGATGCTGCAGCACTTTGAAATGCATTCTCTACAAAGCACTTTTAAACCAGCTTCCAAATTTCAGTCTCTGTAAGACTTACTCAAGTAGTCATACCTTTAAGTATACTATCTGTACAGACAATGACATCATCACAAACTATCTTCATTTGCTGAATGTGCAAACCTTCACTGTACAACTTGTTAGAAAGCAAACAGCATCACAGATCTTCCGTCATCTGGATCTTTTCCTCCTAAATTTAAAATCTGCATAATCCAGCACAGCATCATGCCTCAAATACCTCTTGCTCCTTGGCGAGGTCAGCAATATAACTACTGAAAATTAATGTCACATTATGTGAGAAAATTCAAAATATATCTTCTATAGGTTAAAAAGTTCTTTTTTTCTGTATTATCTTCAGTGCTGAAAATGTTACTGGTTCACACTAGCAGATGAGCAATGCCAGAACAGAGACATGCTTCCAAATTCCACATTTTAGCACACTTCCAAATTTTAACATTTAGTTCGATGAAAGTAGGTAAAGCAAAACCGAAGCAGAAATAGTATAAATAAAAGGGTACTTCCAGACAACTTTCTTCTCTGTCACTATTACTTCCCAATGGGATGTATTTTGCCCGGGTTATTGTTTTCTTTCTTCAATAACAATTTTGGAATTCTTCTCAGTGTTCCCCTTCTGCTATCACAGTCTTCTGTTACTTCCTATCCTGCAGCAAGTGAAACTGATAGCAAGCACTGAACTGACAAGATCAAAAGCATATTTAGGCTCTTTTTTGGCATGAAGAAAATAAAATTATTCTGATTTCCCTCATTTATGAGCACTACTTTTTCTCTTTTGCTGTTCTTACATGACAAGACCTGACAAGACCTTTTCTTTTAAGCATTTCAGTATTCTCTTGCCCAACGTGATCAAAAGCAACGTATGGTTACAAGGACATTGATGTCAGTTTGACTCGCTTGATGAGGTTAGTACATCTCTTTGAATATGAAGATCACAAAACTAGATATTTTTTGGCAATTTGTTCCTACCTGATCTTCATTTGGTACTGTTGGCTGCCTTACTATTCTTCCTAGCATGCCTAGACTGTACCACCTCCTAAATTCATGTTAACATTTTCTCTCTGCAGACTTTTTATGAACGTACATCGTTGCATTTACTCGGCTGGTCATAAGTGAATCTTTGCTGATGGTCCATTTCATTCCCTTCTTCCCCCCACAACTGCTGTTACTTTGATAAAACAAAGAACTAAAAATACAGGAAGCGGAAGGTTCACCAAAGAAAGTTACACCAAACAAAGATGTTGAAATTACAGTTTTACACTGGCAGTTGCTACTATTGCAGTATTATCAGCAGTTAGAACTTATTTCAAATGATACCATGAGGCAAGCTAGAGAAACTATCCCTTGCAGTGAAATGCATCATTAGCATTAATTACACAACAGCTTTCACTTTTAAAGAACACTTTCCATAAGCCACCATAATTGCTCACTAAAAACTATACTTTAAATCACTGTGAATTTTGTTTACGTTACAGTATCCAAAATAACCAACCTATTACCAGTTCATCTATTTGTCAAATACCCTCTTTGGCACAGCCACTTACAGGTAAGTAACAGGAGAGTGTAAATTCAGAAGGGAGAGCAGAGCAGTCCTCTAGCATTAATGACAAAAACTCTTCAAGCAGAGTTCATGCAAAATGGAAATGTTTGTGGCAGGAAACCTCACCAAATAACAGTATTTGTAGACTAATACTATAAAATTTCAAAACCCTATGCAGCTACAGTGTTAACTCTGACAATAATCTGAAATTGCTACCCAAACTACATAGTCAGATAATGGAGAAGTAGTAGAAAAGCAGCAATAGTTGCTAACAACATGTGAAGACAGTCCACGCATCAGGCTAAAAAAAGGTAACACAAATAAACACCCTGATACACACTGACAAAATCACTTCATTCAGTGCAACTACAGTGTCCATGCCATGTGATGCACTGAAGTTGTGTTGACAACTGCCAACTAATGAATAGGCAAAAAAAGGGAAAATAAAGTTAGCAAATACTTTTGAATTAACTGGAAACAACACTTAATGAGCTTGTTTCAGAATTAAAAATCCTTACACAAATGCAAGACAACACTGTTTAATAGTCTCTTTAACAAATGAAAGCTGTAGCAATGTCATGGCCTGCAGGAACTACAGAAGTGCATACCTTTTCCTTTTTGAGCTTCCAGTATCAGATGTAGCAGAAGAAATCATACTGTCCCCGTCCTCAATGTCATCTCTCCTAGCAAGCTCCTTCTTCTTTGCCTGAAAAAAAGAACAATCCCTGAAGCCAAACTCAGTGCCAGACATTTCCAGCACAGTATTAAACATCAGAACAGATCAGATACACAAAGAAAGATGCAACTACAGGTTTTGAGACTAAAAAAAGTATTTCCAGTGATTTACTTAATACAAAGTTGGGTGATATAAAATAGCAGAGTAATTCTTTTTAACTGTCAGAAAAAAAGTTGAGGAAGCAATGTGGAAACACTGCCATTTCAGACTGCAGCACTTGGCTGAGAAAAAAATCACTCTACGATGCTCTTCATTCCCATACTTCCCCCTAAGCAAGAAAATACTACTGCAAATACAGGTCTAGTTTAAAATTATTTGGGAAAAATATTAATTTGGGAAATAAATTCACATGTGAAGTTATATCCTTTTGATCTACTCCACATACCTGCATAACCTGCTGCATTTTCAGTACTCTTTTATAGATGGCAGAATTGGGCACATTATAGCGCTTGGCGTTTTCAAACATCAAATTCAAATCAGCCTCCAACTGATCTAAAGTTTCATATTCATGGTTCTTCAGTTTGGTTCTGCAAAACAGAAATACCAATCACACATCTCAAGAGTTACACACTGCAAAACAGTTTTTCACATCTTTATTTTCACAATAAATCGATATCCAAAGAGCTCTAAATACACAAATGTGTTTTCTTTTTCTGATGCTGCAGTAATATCTTCTGGTTGTAACTATATTAAGGAAACATATCTCCTTTTAAAGAACAGTTTTAAGTATTCTGAAAGCTGTCCTCTTGAAAGCTGTGCAGACCGAAGTCCTGTTTTCATACTCAGAGATGTGATACGTAAAAGACAGAAGCACAACCTGCTGAGATCGCTCCCGTACCCCTCAGCTGTGACCTGTAGGGCCTGGGTGTGGATGGATTTTTAGCAAAGAATGGCCATGTTCCCAAGTTAGCAAGTGCCTACATGGAGCTCGGCATGAACCGAGGATGAAGGAGGACGTGGGTAAAGAAGCAAAAGTAATGGTGCAAGCAAGGTAAGAAGAAACTGGAATGTGCTAAGATACAAAACAGTAAAGTGTTGGCAAGTTTTAAAAAGGGATAAGTTCCCATATGCTTGTTTGATCAATTGTATACTAGTTGCTGTCTGCTGCAAGAATATGTATTAAAGCATAATATACTAAGCTATTGTATATGTTATTGAATATGTATCTAATTATACTACAGCAAGCTATTGTAGATGTAGCCAAATATAATACAGCAAGCTGTTGTATATGTAGACATAGTTGCTATGTGCTACAAGAATAAGTATCCAAATATAATACAGCAAGCTATTGTAAGCAGATGCAGATAACAGTATAAAAAGGATATTTGCTTTGTAGTAAACGGCTTTTGTCTGATCACATCAATCTCTGACTGAGTCCATAATTTTTCTGCGGCACCTGGGTATGATGTCAATGTGACCGTTAGCTCTGCACAGCCATCAATGCTGCCTTCCCTATGCATCAGTTCCACTCATCTTCAGTGAGAGCCAAGTGCCCAACACCTCTCATGTTAACCCACTCCAATTTTTGCCCTCTCTTAAAACCACTTGATTGCTCACTGGTGCTATCTGTAAAGTTTAATTCATGTCAAAACAGTTAGAAAAGGACTAATGACAAAAAATTACCATTTTTCATGGGCTAAACAGATGAATCAGAGCACTAAGTTTGCCAACAATTTAATGTATTTACTTCTATTTCATTGCACAAATGGTAAAAGCTCTAGCCAACTTTTTTAAACCTTCCAATACCTCATCAAACACAACAGAAAACAGATGTCTACAACTACATAAAACCCAAACCCTACCACAACTGTAAAACACAATCATCCTCCTTCACACCTCCTTTCTCACCTGCCTGTCACAGACACCAGTGACAAACCACCTTCAAACCTGGTCTGGTTTTTACAGCACCCAGCTGAAAGTTAGCCTGCCTGATGGAGGATAAGCATACCACAAAATAAATTTAATATCGTTTATTGTAATCCCAAGCCTTACCTGTCAATGTGACCTCACAGCTGAACCAGGGAACAAAGAGTAAGACTTGTGTTAGACAGGACTCTTCACTGGTCAGCCAAGGGTGAGGAGGTCACGGCTGGATTAAACACAACATGAAGCTGAAACAGCTAAAAAACCTACTGAGGAGTGCACGTGTCTATAAAGCTGTCCTGATGGAAACACATTTTACAGTAAACGTCCAACTAACTGCATGTTGCCAGGATGGCTGTTGTGTGTGCCTCACTGAAACATAGCGGATTGCTTTTTCATTTCCTTCAGATCTGAAGAATTAGTGTGTCCTCAATGACTATGAGAAAAGCAATTCCAAAAAAATAGGAGACTTACCAATATAGTTTTCATTAGATTAATAAAAAATACAATAATAAAAAATCCCAAACACACCCTCAAAAGCAGAAGAGTTTGGGTACCAAATAAATAGCCTCAATTTCTACCTTGTAACACTCCAGCAACCATTATTTGCATACATGTTAAGGATTATGTGACTGGTATTAAAAGATCAAACCCAAATTAAAATCCCATTAAACTCGGGATTAGTTTGCCCTAAACCACTAGCATATGATGTATAGGCTCAGAAATACTAAGGATGCAAACCCTTCTTGAGTCCACTTCATGCTCTTGCCACTATCTGGTAACAAACATTACACGCCAACTTACATCTTCTCCAGCTAACCTGAACATGCTCTAGTGCAGAAAGCAAAATCTATACAGTAAAATGCATGTAATTAGTTCTTGTAGTCTGACAAAAATATTGACAAGCAACTACAGGACTTTAACACAGAAACACTTGTTGGTGTTACAAAAGCTAACACATCATTAAGAGAATGCTCAAGGAAACATGAAATAGAAAGGCTTAAAAACCTGAGTTCAAAGCCCCTAACTAATAAGCTCATACTTACCCAAACCACCAAAAATGAGGTTTGTTTTTTATTTTCCAAAACAGATTTAGAACATTTTAATTTGTCAAGGCACATGGGGTAACAAACTGTATAAACAATCGGTCGTTTCCTTGTTTACGGATGTTATTAGTTATCACTACAGAGAAATGCTAACCAGCAGACTTTAATCTCCCCTTGGACATAGACAGCATCAGTATAATTTGTTTCCAAGTGACAACTCATACTGACAAATTTGTAGAATTAGGCTCTAACTAAGGATCTAATAAAGTGAAGAGCACCATAACTGCCTTAGATTTGACTCTTAAATATTTCAGATGTCTAAAATGTCTCAATGCTTTTTATTGACAAAGACAACTGCTGAAGGACAAGGAAGGGTTCATGCTTCAGAAACCCTAACGATCAAGCTGGAATAAAGTAATCTCAAGACCTACTCAATAGTTCATGCTCTTGCAAGTAAGCAAGTCTGCATGCAACATTCTTGCTTTTCAACTCCTGGATCAAATTTTGCTTAAATATTAGTTATCACATAGTTTACAAACATTCTTGTGCCACCCTGGCAGTGTGCCTTCTTCCACACTAAACCAGTTTGGACAGACAGGACAGCAGGAGGAAGAAAAACTGTGCAGGTTTGTGGTCTTCCACCTAAGTCACTAAATTAGAATTACAGAATGGCAAGTTCACATTTTGACTGCTGTTCCATGAGGTCTGCATTCAGCTTTCAGAAAGAGTAACCTGAAGGACTACATCTTAACTGAAGTACCACTTCTCCAGCTGTCCTGCTTAAACCACGACATCAAACTGTCACTTGCTACTGTTCCTCTTTCTGTGCAGCTTTTCCGTATCCATCTCAAAGTTGCCCTTAAAGAATCACCGAAAATCTAGGATTACATTGACTAAAAACCTCAACAGTAACAACCATCCTCCTGAGATACTAAAGACAACAGACAGCAGTACCCTTATCCCCTGTAAATTCAGAATCTATGAAGTAACACTGTCACCATACTACAAATCAGATTTGCTGATTAGTTAGCATATCCTGATCAATGAAACTCTGTATGTTTAGGTGCCAGTTTTCTTAGAAAAGGGGGAATTAGCCATATCCTTTGGAGCAGAACAACTTCAAAGCAAGCTGCAGACAGAATAAGCAAGGCAATAGCGTTTCCTAGGGAACATATCCCACCTGCAACAGTCTTCACAGAAAGTGAATTCTATATTGGTTCTGTACAATGTCACGAACTGCTGGCACTTCACATGAGCTGATCTCCCAAGCCACTTGACACTAACAAATCTGGGATTTGCTTTGTTCCTGCTCCCAGAGACAGAGAGGCAGCTCCTGCAGAGCCCAGAACACCACTGTCACACGCTTCATCTAAAAATACAACACTAACTCCACATAGCCTTGGTATCCCACACTAGCTTCATCTGTGTGTATTTAGGCAGTGACCTCTCCATATTGCAATGCAGCAGTTTAACGCTGAAGCACCAAAAAGCAGAAAAACCATACGAAATTGCCATTAGTCTAAAGTATACCATTCTATGTGCACTGATTCTCTGCTCTCTCGTGATCCTGTGGAAAAATCATTTAAACTTATGGCGAAGGTACAATCCTGACAGTAGCTCACAAGTGAAGAAGAACAGCTTAATTGTATCTTACTCCTTTAAATCCTAACCTAGAGCCAGAAGACAGGAGGATGAGAAAACACTGCCTTAAAAAGAATGGTAATTCAAATTATCTTACGCTCAAATAAAATCTTGCTTCTACCAGCATTTGTTTATTCACAACCAAATAATCGGGGTGCAGCCATCTGATTTGAAGCAAATAACCTGCATTGTCACATTTGTACTCATGAAAGGCCTGACAACAAAAGTAAAAATCCAGACTTGGCCCATATAGTTCAGAAAGGCAGACAAGTTCCCACCACATACATGAAGAATGAAAACATTCATAGGCACAGAAATAACCCTGTTCTAGTCTGTAACTAACCTCCCACCTTACCATCCTCTTTAGCAAACAACAGGATGATTAATTAAGAGGGTTATGCACAGAAGTACTTTGAACAGTTTTAATTATACTAAAACTCGGCAGAACTCAAGTATTACGTCTTTCCTGGATTTAGAGGATGAAATGCAGCTTCACAACACATCTTAAAAAGCCATCTCACCAGTCTTAGAAGGAAAGAATTTTATCAGCATCAGTTCTTTTCACAAAGAGAAGCTAAAACTAACCAAATCTATGGCTCTACAGGAAGTCTCTGCCAACATAATACAAATTAAACTTATACACTAGAAACCAAGAGCAATTTCTGTGAAATGACTGACAGTGATACAATTGTACCTGAAAGCATGAGGAAAACTTGGAAAAACAGAATTTTGAACATAACAACCTTTGCAAAATGAAGAAAAAGTATAGTTTAAAAGGTACGCTACATTTACATAAGGCCACTAAGCCTAAAACAACACTGGCATGACATTTAATTTGGTCAAAATCAGAAGAGTAATAATAAATCCCATACAGTAAGCTGGCACTCAACTCCCTAGAAGATCTACTGGAAACTCATCAGCTCTTCCAAGTGGAATATCTGAAAGAACTGAAGACAAGGGAGATACTCATGACCAAAAGATCCATCTCACTAGATACACACTATGCCTAAAAAACTCCTAGAAACAAAAAATACAAGCACATGGCTAAAACCAGTTCTCATGTAACTTAATTCCTTTTATTCACAAATTATGAAGTGCTAACCCTGCCTCTTTAGGAAAAAAAAACAACCCAACAAACAGTAACAAAGAAAGCACGTGACCAAGATGGCATTTGATAAATGTTCTACTGAGGAACGACAGTTGTTATCTTATGAAATACATTAGGAACTTCGTTTACTTGAAACCATGATTTTATACAGGCCTGAAGTACAATATGCATTGAAAGTACTTGCCAAGGCTGGAAAATTGGTTACACAGACAGAAGATCTAAAAAATGTACAATATTCAACAAATATGAAACTCTATCAAATGGAAGGAATGAAAGAACTGCTAAATCTCAGATGAAGTAAAAATTTACAGGATATTCTTAATATTTGAAAGACCTATTTTTTTTGTTAGAGAGTACTCTTCCAAGTGGCTCACGCACAAACACACAGAACACAATGTCACATTATTTTTCAAAAGTCAATGTAATAAATCTTAATGTACTTTTTTTTAATTAAGAGCTTATGTTATAATGGGCTTAAGCCCTGTTGTTTTAAACAAAACAAAAAGTTCTCTATCAACCATTCAGGCTTTAATCCTGAGAGCAGTCTCCTCTAATTCAAGATAAGTTTCACTCCTTTAATTGCAGTATTACTGTAACTTCTGAAATTATAACAAAAAGTATGGTTGTATTTAGTACAAGTCAACTCAAATAATTAATCCAAAGGCAGTAAGACTCACCACAAATCTCACAGTTCCAGAAGAACCTCAACACACCCCAGTGCAATGCAATGACACGTTTAGATTCCTGTGTTGCAGACCATTGTCCGAAAGGATGCACATTCATAAGAAAAATGGATTTCAAACCCTCAAATAGCAGATGTCACACAAAACCAACTGTGGCTTATATTAGATCCAGGCACTTTTTTAAACAAAAACTATAACCCCAGGTTTCTGGAGCTCAGGACACCAGGGCGTGCCAATGAAGACTCTAATTTCAGTGCCCATGCACCCACACCACTCATGTTCAGGAGAGAACTGCTGCCAGAGAATTCCCTGGAGTACTTCCCTCCTTAGGTGTAGAAAAGGCTGATCCACTTGCCGTAGGGATCATAGTTACAAATGCCGTAAAATGTAATTAGGAACACAGTTCCTGTAAGTGTGCCAGGATCTAGCGCTCAAGTACTGGGTAACTGCACACATTCTCCTGCATTATTTCCCAACTATTCTTCTGGTCACTTACAATTACAGAATGACTTTTCACCAGCTATGTGAAGTCTGCAAAATAACCTCCACTCCATGTACTTGTACCCTACCTGGAAGTCACAGCCCTCAGAGTGTCATGCCTTTCATTTTAAATAGTACTCCTGTTCTACTCTTGAAACACATGAAATTTCATCTGAACACCAGGGTACTGTGAGGCTGGTTCCCAGGAAGGTTGCGGAGCGTCTATCTCTGGAGATACTCAACACCTGACTGGGTACAGTCCTGGGCAGCTAGCTATGGGTGACCCTGCTATAGCCAGGGGTTGGATCAGATGGTCTCCCTTGCCACCTCAGCTATTCTGAGGTTCTATAAAGATCAAGTCAGGAGGAAACTAGCAGAAAAATAAAGCCATCAGAAGGATTGGGATCTGCACTCAGCTCAAATGACTGAGGGTTATAACGCTCATGAAGTGATCGAGAGGCTGGGATAGGTATTATGAACATCTCATTAAAACAAAACATACCCATACTCTCTCTAGAAATCATACTATTTTGTAAGTTTTTCCTGTATTTAACACACACAAAACCTCTAAAATATACGACTACCTTTAAAATTTGCAATGGCCACACATTTCACAGTGCACTCTAGCAGGATAGCCTAAGTAGTCAGATGCCGAATTGGAGACAGGAATGCCAGACTTTACTCCAACACCTTCAACTTTTCACTAGGACAATTAACTTTTCTGTCCCCATCTGTGAGCACACGATACGCTCTTTGCATGTACATCTTAAAAAACCTCAAATCCACAAAACACAAAGTCTCACCACCACCAAAAACCACAAACCAAAATGTCAAAAATTGCTAAAACAGTCAGACTATTACAAATACTGTACTTGAACTTGTGCACTACAAACACTCATTTCTAAAGAGAACTGTCCCTTTTTATTTTCTAAGCTCTCAGGCAATAAGTATTTCACCACCAGCAGCCTGCAGTTCTTCATATATTTGCGTAGTTTCTGTACTGCTCACATAGCCAGATGCAACCTGCCTACACTGCAAGGAAAGCAGAAACACAGCTGCTTCCCTATGGCAAATTACGTGTCCTATAACTGACATCAAGTATAGTTTTTTACTGGAAGGTCTCTCCCAGTTAAATCTTTTATACGTAATTTGAACCAATATTCTTTGGTATATTCGGACAAAAAGCTTCCTGCCAATTGTTACCGATTTTTCTCAATTTCACCTTTTTTTTCCCCTCCATCAAGAGCATTTTGTGCTTTGTTCAAGATACTTTCTTTGCCAAGACAACAGCTGTACTAAGACATAAGAAAAAACTGCTTTAAAGCTGCTGATGGATTGATAACCAGTGTGGGAGCTCTGTACTCATTCCCGAGTACATGCAAACATCCTCTGACAGGTTAGAAAAAAAAGGAAAAGAAAAAAACCAGCCCAAAACTTAACTTCCCTTCCTCCCCCACAAAAAAACCCAAACAAACCAATCAAAACCCACAAAACCAGCTTAAGTTTCTTTCTCATTTAACAAAGACACTGCTTATTCACAATTACACCAAGTCTAGCAGATCATATTATGGTAAAACTTAGACCCGTTATTAGAGTGGATTACAAACACAAGAACAGTGCTAGGGCCCAGTCCTCACTTAATAAAGGACCAGCAGCCCCAGTGGACACTGGGCAGGAGGCCAGGGCCACCTGAGTCTGGTCAGTGCCGATAAGGTCTGTTAATACACTCAGGACCCTGACACATATCCATCACAGTAGCTTATCTTCGACCACTCAGGTTTTTGATATGACACCTGCACTGTGGCAGCTGATGAACCTTTCATGGCTCATAGACTCATAAGGAGTGTACTGCCTACTTCAATCCAGACCTCAGGAATAATAATCCTCAGTTATACTATGACCAAGACAAAAGGAACATAATTACAAATATCTTTTTACAATTCAAATTGCTGAAGATTAATTCAAAAAACATGGCAGTGAGAGGTAACCAAGCCCTCAGGGTCAAGGAAAAAGAATAATGGGGGTTCTGCAAAAGCTTTCATCTCTGCTGCCTCCCTAGCCTTCAGAGTTATTGATATGGCAACCTTTAAGGCACATTACAAATGAAACTCCATCAAAAATAAACCAAATGACAGCCACCTGTAAAATATGATCAAAAGACTGATGCAGACTGAGTTGAAACAAGAAGCAACCAAATGTAAAGGACAGATGGCATACACTGCGTTAGGCATCAACAAACTGACTACAAGGTAGGATTCTGAAAAGAAAGTAAGTCTTTGAACAGTTTCGCACCAGATGTAGTTTGCATTCTGTTTTCTTACCTGATCTGCTGCAATGAAATAGGTGTTTTAATTTGCTGATAATAATCAGGATACTTTTTCTTGGAAGGCAAGTGGAAAAAGGGTTCAGATATGAGCTGGCCCTGATTATTTCGGCAACTTCTAACTGTGTCATAAAGCTGATAAAGAGGATTAGAAGTGTCCATGAAGGAAGTAATGCTCTCGGCTTCAGATTCTCCCTCTTCATAACGAGCAGCAGCTGCACAGAGAGAAAGGGAAAATGGGAAACTCAGTAGGACAACTCAGAGTGGGGTTTTTTGATGACTTTTCAAATGGATAAAGATCTAAATCAGAAGAAAAGGCAGTCCCTCAAGAGAGGGCATTCAGCCACTCTCTGGCAGTCAGATTCATACCTCAGAAAAGGACATCACAAATCTATTGTATGAGCCTCAAGCCCACAAAAAAAATGCACTTTATCTAGTTATTGGAATCTCTCTTATCAGATGAGACTTCATTTCTGCCACTGGTAATAACACCCTTACCAGCTACAAGTGCTGAGAGTCCATATCAGACACCATAACAGGACTGCTCAATCACACACTACCCAGACAACAGATCGACCTTATTTACCCATCAAACCATTAATACCAATATTTGTGCCAAATACATTTGTATACCGAACTACTGTCATACACGCCACAAGGATACAAATTGACAAACCATGTCTGGAAGCTTCAAAGGTGCCTGGCTACTTAAGCCAAATGGCCAAATTCAAAATGAATTTTTGCAAATGTATCAAAAAAGGATACATTTTTGCAAATGTATTCAAAACTTCTATAATCCTTTAAACCATATTAATCACATCTCAGTTCAAAAATTGTGAAGTTTAGCAGAAAAACCTGACATTAAAGCCTGAAGGTGCACCTCTAATTTACCCAGCAAAATAAAGGATAAATATTTTAGAATTATTATATTATTAGCATTCTATATTCATATATATAATTAGCATGGATCTTTCATAATTATTTACAACTTTCATAGCAAACCTAGTTATCTATATAAAGTATATACTATGCTTCAGGTTTAGGATAAATGAAAGAAATACTATGAAGAGCTAACATTCACTGCAGATAAAACTAGGAGAAACATTACATGAGCAACAGAAACACAACTGGAACAAAAAACACCGGCAGTGGAAATACAGCATGGAAAAAGTAAATGGCCACTCCTCCCACACTTCTCAGTAACAGAAATGGTGTCACTTGTACCTTGCAGACAAGCATAACATAAAATCTATGTGGGTATGCACATACTGGAGCTAAATTATTCACCCTTTTTTCACCTTCTTAAGAGTTAAAGTTCGAGGGAAAGTTTGGCAGATGACACACTTGGTAATTCTGTCACACAAAAGGCAGTTCTCTAACACACCAAGTTTCCAGCTGGCATTTTTGTTATTGCTCAGCAGAAGCTGGCAATGTTTCAAGCCTTCTATCCAAGTTCAGCAAAGATGTACCAAAATGATGACAAAGCGAGGGGACACTCTCACTACATAAAAGCATAATACTATCATTTTTCTTCTGCAGTCTGACATTGCAATCTATGCTAGTATATGACGTATGGGACCTACCAGACAAGTTAGATGGAAACTAAAACACAAGCAGACCTTGTGCAAACACATAACGAAGATGTTCATTACTGATTCAGGGAAGACACTCCAAATTATACTAATTTGTGTGTGCCTACAAATTATCCTAATGTGTATGTCAAGTCAGCATCACTTAATGGCCTAGCACACCTACCACAGTAGCCAGCAATGCAGCATCTGGACAGAATAACTCAGGCAGAAACAAAAGACTGGAGTTAACACTATGTTCTCCTGTACCTGAAAATGGAGATAAATGCTAACAGCTAAGAGACTGATACCAAGTAAAGTAAGTTTCAAAAACTTATTTTAGACTACACAGCAAACGGTCAAATAGCTCAGTTCTGAGTGCTCCATCAAAAAGAAACAGAGTAGAAAAAAACAGAATATGTTTTTATGAAAAAGGAAAGAAATAAGAAACTAGCCAAGTATACTGCTATCATCCTACATGTGGCAGCCAGCAGGAAAGCAGTTCATACCCCAAATAAGAAATGTACTTCCTCTGCATTGGAAGTAGAACACCAGACATTCCTTAAAATAAAAATCTAAGTAAAACAGGCACTAAAAGGAAAGTGTTTACATAATACTGTAATGTAGCTATAAACACTTCCATTATGACATGTATGTTCTTTAAAAGCGATGTGTCAAACATTACATATTCTTACATATTCAGAAGATTACACTGCTCTAGTGTGAAATCTGTTCTCTAAAGAAAACTGATGAAGAATATGTTATTCAGATCAGAAGACAGAAAAGAAACCTATTCTGCCATGAAACAATCTAATGCAAGACTACAGATTGCTTAATATGCAGTAGCACCAGGTGCCATATCCCCACCAAGCACGCACTGGCAGTGAAGTAACAGTCAGTTACTCCTTTGTCATGCAGCTGTTACCACTACTACAGTTAACAGAAAAATAAAAAACCCTTCAGCAAACCATAACCACGAAGTATCTGCCATGCGACAGGCCCAAACAAAAAGCATTTCCTGCTGTCCATTCTGTACTACAGTGAGTGCTTCCTAATGAAGGGCCAGCTTCATAATGGAGTGATGTTAAACTGACTTCACTGCAAAAGGAGGAAGCCATCTAATTTACAACTGGAACTGAGCTTTATTATCAGATATAAATGCATCTATCATAATCATGTACTCTTACTCAATGATGAGGCAGAAAAAGAGTAGAGAGAGAGTATTTGTATGTATGAGACAGCAAATCAGTCTTACTCAGTAAATGATTTGCTTTAAACACTGTCTCCTTTGTGGTCCCAAAGCACCTAGGCAACAATGAATGCTCACAGTCTAACTGAAGATAAATGCTAGTAAAACCAAAAGCAGCATCCAGTCTTAAAACATTTTAAATTTAATAATAATAAATAGCTTTGTTTACAAAATGGCATACTTTTAAGTAAGTATCACAGAATGACCATCTATGCCTGCCTTTACAGATTTATAATGGGGACCAAGGACGCTGCAGAAGCTGCTCATGCACTAATATATTTGATCTAGAAATCTACAAGCTCCACCACACCATGACACCCTCTGAAACTGTGAGGATAAACTCCAAGTTGGAAACAGATATTGCTCATTGCTTAAGCAACTGCTAGAATCCAAGAAGCTCATAAAGATTTAGTTCTCTATATTGAGAAGGAGAAACCTCTTCATGTTCAGTCATGCAGCCTAGGTCTCATTTATTTTAACAAGCCTTAGTGGAAAGAAAAAAGATGAGATTCCAGAGCAACTAATAAAAAGACTTAGTTAAAATAAAAATCCTTTTCATGCAGAGACTGGAAGCACAGGGATGCCCAAGTAGTGCATTGGAGGGACAGAAAATCTTAAGGGTGACAGAGGTCTTCTAAAAAAACTGACTTTGCCCCTTAGGTGAATGTGATAAAGGCAGAAGAGCTGTAGCAGCACCAAAGCACAGAGCTCAGATGTATATGAAAGGCCCTATGAAAATGACAATAATGTCCATACTGTGAAAGGTAGCACCTGAAAGTGGTTAAATCACTTCAAGAATTTAAACCATATAAAGACATAAAAAGCTATGTGTGTTTACAGAATTACAATTTGCAAAAATAGCAGCTAATAATCACACTGAACCAAGCCAATAAATACTCCTCACACCTCCCAGAAAGCAGCTGCTCCAAAGCAATAACTCAACTCTGCTTTTGTTTGCAGCAAAATGGTCCAAAACAATTCCACAGGATGTCCATCCACTGGAAAAGTGGGGAACACAATTCAATTTCCAGGTGTGAAATGAATGCCCCAAAAATACAAACTGAAGAGATGCATCATTTCACACCAATGCAATAATAATGTTAACAAAAAATAAAACTGAAGATGTGTAAAACGTTTCAGAAACTGCCCTGAGAGGAAAGCAAGGAAGGTGCTGAGAATGTAACTACCAAGACAAGCTAGCTTAAAAGACAACCTATAACAATTTATGGCTGATATTGAAATATCTGATATAATGCATCTATTATGGCATATACGCTTATATTATAAAGCTAAAGCATGCTTATGAAACTAAGGGCGCTGTATGAAGGTGTGCCTTTTTACATGCTTTTAACATAAACTTTTGTAAAATTTCATGCCTGCTAGGCTAGACCAGATATTTCTGAATTATGTTCTCACATTTACCTGTCCTTACACCTCATACATCATCTTCAACTTCAAAAATAAAACCTGAGACCCAATGGCACAAGAGGGCACGAGAAAACAAGCCAGTGTCGTGAGACTTCTCTGAAACAATTGTAGCACTGTAAATCTCTTTTACTACAAGAAGCACCCAATGTCTTCCCCAGTGTGTCAACTTTGGTTGCACATTAGGAGGAATAAAAATGTGTAGCAGTTTCCTAAAGCTTGGATAAGTATACTTGGAAACACACACACTAAATTCAAACCATGCAAGCAAGTTTGGCCTACGCTGCCTGACCAGCTGTACATTTATACATTTGTACTTAGAGAGAAAAGAGATTGATTTACATACTGAGTTTGGAAACACTGCAAAATACTTTTGAAATAAAGATATTTGAATGTATCAGAAGTCCTGCAGTTCTGCTTATTCCAAACATTTAAACTGAAAACAAATGGAGAAAATGCATTGCAATTCGTACCTGCCAAAGCTGCATCCTCATCACTTTCTGATCCGTATTGCAATGCCATGGTTATTGCTGATAAACGATCCCCTTGGGCTGATCTTTTGTTACTATGAAAGAGAAGTAAAAAACCCACGCAAATTAAAAAAGGGTTATCACATTAACCATCAGCAGTCAGTCAGAGCTGTAAGTAAACGGTGAAGCTCATGACAGTTGTTTACAGGAATACAGACATGACTACACAAGAAAATACTGGAGCCCTGAACAAGAGAAGCTGTTCACGACTCGAGTCTGCCTCTATTTTGAGGCAGTTCATCAAGCTGAAAAACTGGACACACCATCAGAAAGCTAGAGCTCAAGCTAGCTATTCTTCTGCCCTATTTTGACTGCCCGAGTATTTGAATTACTGGGGGAGAAGGGAGACGATAAAAAGTCCCTCACATGAATAACTTTGTTATTCTGTTTTAGAAGGATTTGTCTACAAGAAGGAATCCAGCACACTTGTAAGCTGTATAAGCTGTCTTCTCCCATCTTACTTATTTTTGGCACACACAGAGCCGAGATGGAAAGCAGCTTCCTCTGCTTTCTAGGAGAAGGAGACCAGCATCCACACTGGCTATAGTCTCACAAAGACTTCTTTAGCATTCCTCTCTTCCTCCCTTTTGTCCCAGACCTGGGGCACAGCATTTCATGCCTACACTGTAGGCTATGCCTGACAATTTCTGCTTTTTTATTAGGTCAGGTGTTTAGGCACCTCCAGCAATGGGCTCAGCTTTGCCCTGTGGGAGCAAAGTGAAGACTGGGAAAAAGGAGATGGTCCCACACTTTCCAATACATCTTTTCTTGTCTTTTATATACACAGATATTGTTCCCTTTGTCTATGAGCTATTCCTCTGAAATGTCCATTGAGTTCATTTAGTCCATGACCTTGGGCTTCGTCGTAACAGTCCTTCAGGGCAGGAGAGAAGGTGTGTTTGCTGTCGCACTGATGCATGCTGAATCCAATTCTGGTTCTACCATGACTGCACTTTGCCCAGTTTCGTCAAAATTCAGAACGATTTTTTCATTAACCTCTGTAAATCTTATTGCAACACAGTTGATACGACATATAGCAACCACAGTAGTAATGACACACAGTATTACATAGCAAGTAACATCACAGAATTCAAATCACAGGCTCTTCTCAGCCAGAATCAAATCCCCTTGAGGTACACATTGGACTTCCCCATCCTCTTGCATTACTCATCAAGTGCACCCAGGCAGGATGCCTTGGCAGGTTTGCAGGAGGTGCATAATCTGCCAGGCCTCTCTGTATTTTGCTATGAGCGGGTTGAAAGCTTCTGGGTAAAGATTAGGGACCAAGGCAACAAAGGAAACCTTTGTGTCTTACCAAAGGCTGCCCAATCAGGACAGGACTATTGATGGAGCCTTCTTACTCCAGCTACAGGAAGTATCACACTTCCTGGCTCTTGTCCAGGCTTCTCAGTTATGTCAAGCAGGAAAAAAAAAGGTCAAAGAAAGTGATTGCTGATAAGCAAGACTGGTAAACTGGGTTTCCTAGTCAAGCCTATTGTGGGATCAGAGCGACCCACTTACTCCACATAGCTTCAACTGCATGAGGTGTAGAGGACCTCCCTTTGAACTTCCAGTTTAGCACCAGCAGTTGGGGTACCAAGAGAAGCTGTGCTTCAGTACCAACCATTTCCAAAGCAGCTTGAACCCCTTCATACACTGCCAATATCTCTTTTTCAGTAGGAGTACAGCAGCCCTCAGATCCTCTGTATTCGCAACTCCAAAACCATACAGTTTGACCTTGAGTGTCCACTGATGCTTTCTGCCAGAGGCTCCTGGTAGAACCATTCTCCCTAGCTGAGGTGTTAAGCATACTTTTTACATCTTGCTCTGTATGAACTGACCAAAGGGCTACTGAATCAGTTATCTCCTGTTTAATTTATTCAGAGGCTTGTTGTCCTGCAGGGCCCCATCTGAATTTGTTCTTCTGGGTCACTTGACAGAGAGGTCATTACTGCCAATGCCTTAGCATACAATGGGGTACTTCATACAAACTTCACCACATAGTTGTGCCCACTTCATCTGGATCTTTGGCCAACTGCTTCTTGTCCAGGTCCTCGTAAATCCCCTCAGGTAATGGATACCTTTCTCCATGGTGGCCCACTTGCCTGGGTAACATAGGACATCCTCCTTGATGGGAAGGGGCAGCTTTCCTTCATGCCTGACAAGAGTCATTTCCAGAGGCTGAGGACTTTTCCAACAGCACTGTCAATGCTCCCTTCCCTAGAAAGGGATTCCAGCTGTCTGGCTTCCTTACCCTAACTCCAGGCTATTGCCTCTGTTACCCCAACATCAATGCGCTCTTCTGGATGATAGCTGAAGTCTCTGCACAGGTCCAGGAATCCAGCCTACTCAGGAAGTTTGCCATAAATGCATCCCAAAAGCAATGCTTTCTTTTTACAGGCTTCATCAGTTTCCATCGGCTATCTCTTAATTATTCACTCCTACCAATTACATCTTTTTAGTCTCCAAATTTAGTTTACAACACATTTCCATGGGTTTTTTCACCTGATTTATTTTGCAATGAAGCTTAACATATGGTTCTTCGGAACATTTCTAAGGAAATAATTACATATAGAGTATTTCATGACAGGTGTTTTGAAATGTTAAATATAAAATCAAACACGGAAGAGTAATTACAGGAAAGTAACTTATTGAATCATACTAAATAGATATTTGACTGAAACATATCTGAATCTCAAAAGTATTTGCATCAATACTGAAGAGCACTCACAACCAAAAACACACCCAAAACCAAACCAACAAAGTTTTAGTATGTCCATATGATGATGTCCCACCTTTCCCTCCAAGACAACATTTACTTACCGATAATATTTGTTAGAAGAATTTCTCTCATCACCAACACTGCCTTTACCCTGTGAGGAAGGACCTGTCAGCTTGGAAGCAGTCAAATTTGATGAAGTCCTTAAGGTAGAAGAGACAAGCCAAGGAAAGGGGAAAAAAAAAGAGGCCCACCTTAGACCCAAGAAAAGGCGCAGCAAGGATAAAGCTTTTTACAGAATTACTTTGAAAGATCAGCCAAAAGGTTTGGAGACAGATGTAAAATGTTTTAAAGCTAACAGCAAAGTAACATTAAGATACATTTAATACCCCAGCATTAACATCAATTTTGCTTACAAAGCCAGAGTAAGGTGTAACATTTAGATTGAGGATTAACAGCTATACACACAGCTGAGCCTATAGCAGCAGTGAAAGCAGCCAACAAAATGTTCCTTAGTATCCAGATAAAGCTCATCATACAGATCCAATCACCTTTTATCAATACTTAACAAAATCACTGTCAACTTGCTTGACAGTGCATATTGGCAAGCCACTTATTTTGCCATTTTATTTAAGGGACAACAGGTAAATGCACCAACAAAGAGCAAGTTAGTATGACAAAGGATACAATGAACTCTGCAACAGAAAAGCATGATTTTAAACACAGAGGCAACATGTCCATAGAACAGGTTAGTAGCAAAATGATGAATTTGATCCAATCCATTAACAACAAGGAAAAACAGATGTAAATTGAGAAGAAAAATAGAGTAAATTAGCTTTCAATGAACTCATGGGAGTATTTTATTAAAACCAGCAACAGGTAAAGGAGACTCCCCTTTGAGACAATGAAGCAGTTAAAAAAATAATTTTGTTTCCTTCACTAGAAAGGAACAAAAAAAGACTAATGGTTCAATAAAAGAGCAACCAGTGAGGGGCAGAGCAGCAGGTGAAAGGTTTGGTTTTCACGATGCTCTTCTTTCACCCTGATTTTTTTTTTTTTTTTTTTTGCATTCAGCCCAGTATTATTGTAGCCTGCTTCAGGCTTTATTTTTCTTTTGCCAAGTTAGAGAAACAAAGAAGGGAGCTCTCAATTGTTCTGACATTCATGTTACTTTGGGATTTACAGGTCTATTGAGAACACAATACATAGGAGAACATCTAGAATAAGGCAGCTAAGAAGTGGAGAAATGGAAATGGGTTGGCAGTGTAAGAGAGGAATTCAACTAACAAATACCAGTGTGATTTATCTGTCATCCCTTCTAATGCAAACAGCTTCATTTTGAAGGAAAACAACAGAGATAAAAATAAAATTACAATTTAAATAGCAAACCTCTATGCCAGTATGTAATTATAGTTACCGCAAAACAAACACATGTTTTGTTCAACGTCTTTATCACTGACAGGGACAGTGGGATTGAGTGCGCCCTCAGCAAGTTTGCGGATGACACCAAGCTGTGTGGTTCAGTTGATGCGCTGGAGGGAAGGAATGCCATCCAGAGGGACCTTGACACGCTTGTGAGGTCCCTGGCTGATGCCAACCTCATGAAGTTTAACCACGCCAAGTGCAAGGTCCTACACCTGGGTTGGAGCAATCCCAGACACAGCTCCAGGCTGGGCAGAGAAAAGATTCAGAGCAGCCCCGCGGAGAAGGACATGGGGGTGCTGGTTGATGAGAAAGTGAACATGAACCAGCTTCAGTGTGCGCTTGCAGCCCAGAAACCAACCGTATCCTGGGCTGCATCAAAAGGAGCGTGACCAGCAGGTCGAAGGAGGTGATCCTGCCCCTTTGCTCTCGTGAGACCTCACTTGGAGCATTGTGTACAGTTCTGGTGTCCTCAATATAAAAAGGACATGGAACTGTTGGAACAAGTCCAGAGGAGGCCACGAGGATGATCAGGGACTGGAGCACCTCCCATATGAAGATAGGCTGAGAACGTTGGGGCTGTTCAGCCTGGAGAAGAGAAGGCTGCGGGGAGACCTCATAGCAGCCTTCCAGTATCTGAAGGGGGCCTATAGGGATGCTGGGGAGGGATTCCTCATTAGGGACTGTAGTGATAGGACAAGGGGTAATGGGTTAAAACTTAAACAGGGGAAGCTTAGATTGGATATAAGGAGGAAATTCTTTCCTGTTAGGGTGGTGAGGCACTGGAATGGGTTGCCCAGGGAACCTGTGAATGCTCCATCCCTGGCAGTGTTCAAGGCCAGGTTGGACAGAGCCTTGGGTGAGATGGTTTAGTGCGAGGCGTCCCTGCCCATGGCAGGGGGGGTTTGAACTGGATGATCTTAAGGTCTTTTCCAACCCTAACTATTCTATGTATGTTCAGTGTCTGTAGAATCAAGGTCTTCTAGCACTACATACACTTTTAAGAAGGAAAATTTTAAACATATGTCAGGAATTACTCCCTAACAGTATTTATGTTCCTATATTTTTTATATGCTCACAGGAAGCATACAAATGCTAAACAAAGGAACCACAAAAAACACTATAGAGGTTGAATATCTCAAAGGACCAAATAGCAAAAATCGACCAGGTAATTTTCACTTCTTTCACACATCACAATTCCAGGCAACACTTCTAATATTGGCATCATCTACACATTTTTCAGACAACAAAAAAATGTAAACTGCCTTTCAGTACGGTAAGGGAGCCCTGGTGTTTACAGTTGAACCATACAAACCATCACAGGAAATGACAGCAGTTATTTTCCAGCATCAAATATCAGTAAACAGCTCAAATCCATAAAGACAGCCCCCCTTGTAAAGAGTTTGCTAACTATGGGACGACTTGATACTCATAGCTTTGTTTTTTAGATAAATGACATGGCCCATACTGGCAAATAACCTCTACACTTACTTCTAAGAGCTACTCATAAGAAAAAAGTTTGTATGAGAAGAAATCTAATTGCATTTCAGGTAAAAAACCATCTAAAATGACAGCATCGCTTCTTTGTCTATCATGATTTTCACAGGACGAAAATGTTATTTCCTAAATAAAATCATCCCATGAAACAAACGGGGCTATGAACTGTATTTTATACCTGCCTGTTCAAGACCAAATCTATGCTTCACTAAGTCCAGATCTTCCATGCCCTTAACCTCTTTCCACAGCTAGAAATTGGTTTTCAAACAAGAGTTTATACAATGTGGACTTCCTTGTAAATACATGTTGCCTGAGGCCTTGTTCCTATGTTTCTGCCCCTACCTAATTAATAGCAGCTCTTATGCTTCAGCTCCTAATAAGGTTCAAGATTCTCCAGCATTTTTCATAAAGCAAAGCACAACAAAGCACCATGTTTCCTACCATTATCTTTCTGTTATTAACTCTGAGTTATAAAGGATCTACTGACACCTTTTCATGTGAACATTACAGAAATTTTTCACCACAGAAGTATTTCAATAAAAAGTTTCCTTCCAGAAACTATTTTACATTTTTTAACCTTTAAAACAACAATAAGTTTTCAAGCAATTATTTCTCACTGTACTGTCCACAGCAAAATTAAGGGAATGTCGATAGAGATTTTTATATGAGATTACAAAAAGAACTCTGTTTGCAGTACCTGATTCGGAGACTTGACTTGGCCAACTCACTGTGTTCAATTTCAGCCTTTTTCATATTAAATATTTTTTTAATTGCATTTGCATCCTGTCAATTAAAAGAATTTATTTGTTTAATGTTGAAAGTGTAGAATGTTATATTCAGGCATATCCAGCTACCCAAAAATCTAAAACAGAAATTAAGGGGTTTTTACATTTAGATATAAAACAATCTTGTATGAGAAATGAAGCACAGAACAAAGCCTGCCTGAAATACACCCACAGAGGTCTGCAAAAAGTGAACAGAATAAATAGCTGAATAGCTTTGAGGTCATTTTTTGTCATAACCATAAAAAAAACAAACACCCAAACACACAAAAATGTACAATTTGCAAATATGCACGAATGCCACCTAGAATTAAACATGGAAATTACTTTCTGTGCCTTTACAACCAAAAAATACCACCGTTACTGAGATTTACACTTGCTCACTGTCATTCTACACCCATGGACTCAATACTTGAAGTAACAGTTCACAAGATAAGAGATTACAAGTTCTGAGTGAGGTTACAAACGTGAGCTTACGACAAACACCATAAATAGTTCCTGCAATCTGGAAAGAGATAGCAGCAGAGTACAACTGCTATCACTTGAACCTGTAGTTTCAGGCATTTCAACTTCAATCGCAAGTACAAGGATCCTCCATTCCTCCAAAGAACTCATGTAACTCATATCCCAAAATAAAATCTAATCTGAAAAAAATCTTATACCTCAGCAAGTAACATGCATTCCAATTATACTAAAAGCAATATATAACAAAAAAAAAAAGAAAAATAAAAAGAAAGAAAAGCCACTATTAGCTCTTCCTTTTTTAACTGAAAACGATCTTCAGGGCCATATGCTAAAGATTACTTTAAGGATCAATAAGCACAGAAAGTCGTACAGAAAATCAAACTCAAATCAAACTATGAATAAGTGAATCTAACCTTGAATACTTGTGATCCAGGCTCATTGTAGGTTTTGGCATTCTTTGCCAGAAGATCTATATCCTTGGCCATTGCATGAATGCTTTTGTAAGTTCCGTTCTATACAACAAAAACCAGAACTGGTTAAAGTGGCAACATTCAGAGAACAGCATAAGAGCTGAGCCAGTAGCAAAAAGCAAAGGGAATTCATATAGAATAAAGGGAACATTTACAGAAAAATAAGAACATTTCTAAAGAGGACAGATAAGTATCTGAAAAAGTCAAGAAAAAAAGAAAGTTAAAACATGCTAAATCCTTAGAGACTTCACAAATGCTTAGGAAAAGATTGAAAAAAATAATGCATTTGATTGCCTTAATTTTGAAGGTTTTAACAAAATGTTATTTTATCTCTATTCTCTAGTTCAATTAGTCCATGTGCTATACAAAACTACTATAAAAATATGCTAGCATTACAGAACAATATTTCATATTACTGGTCAAGTAAGATGAAAAATCCATCAGTACAAATCAGCTATTTATAGCACTAGAACAAAAGCAGGTGATGTTAATGAATGACCAAGCTTCAATACTTCAATGTTTTACATTAGCAGTACTTGCCAAGGAACTACTTTAAACCATTAAACATACAGAAACCCAAGATATTCAGGCTTAATGCCAGTACTCTACAGTTTACAATGCTTGATCTTCAACACAGCTATTTCTGCAGCACTGACAGCGTCCAGATTTCTAAACAGCAGGGGAAAACACATTGTCTTTTCTACAACCACAAACTTTGGCTTCTAAGAGTGCTCACTGTTAAATAAGTATATACTTTGGCATATTAACATGCTCATACTGTACCTGTATCCTTTGGGCAATGGTTTTAAGATCTATGGGCTCCTTTATTATTGCATAATAATCTGGATATTGCTGGAAAAGAAAAATAATTATTGCTATAAACAGTCACACAGCTATTGTTCTAGTAGCTCACAGAATGAGCTATGAGTTGAACTGCAGATAAGAACAGTGGAAGCTCCATCAGTATAGCAATAGGCTTCAATTTTGGTGAGCCAGCTTGCAAGGCTGATAGAAGTAATTATAATTCATCAATAAAGTGATATAAAGGAACAGTTCTGTCTGAAAGCCAAATACAGGTCTTCAGAGTATTTATTTTGCTGGTTAAACTTATGTCACATCCTGAAACAGAACAGTGGAATCAGATGTATTTAAAAAGATTAAAATCCCTGCACGAAAAAAACATAATTACAAACACCCATAATTACCTAAACTGGCAAAACAGGGTAAGCCCCCGATTCCAATGAAGGGCTGAGAACGAATGGGTAGGAGCAAAGAAGGGCTCTAAAAACAGCTGGGGTTTGTCACTGATGAAATAATAAGCATTCTGAGTGTGCCCACCATAGTGTGTAACATCAGTTATATAAACGTCCCACTTTCCATCTTAAAACACAACCAGTATTACTAAAATACCCACCACTTTAGAGGGAAGTTTCTGAAACAGTTCACTGATGAGGCGCCCTGATGGGTTTGTGGCAACAGCTATAGCTTCAAGAAGCTGTTCAAGAATTTCCTTCAGGTAACCTGGAGATGACTAATAAGAAATGAAATCACAAAAAGTTTTAAGAGCAGCCATAGTGGAGTGCTTTAAGTTGCACTAAAATACAGGAATTGACTTTTCAAACACAGAAGAAATCAGCTATAAAACACAGATGCAACTTTTGAAAACAACATTACCTAAATGCATAACCAAAGCACATCAGAAAAACTTTAATTTCACATTTACACTGCAGATTGTCCAACATGCGTTACGACTCGGTTGTCAATATTAATGAAAACATGCATCCCAACATCACAAGCGCCAGACAAGCCACTGTCATATCCAGCTTATGAAACACTCCAGAAACAGCTGCATTAACTGAATGAGACATGTTGAAAAATGATGTAACTGGACATGAAGCTTGCTTGCATCAAACCTCGAAGTTGGCATGATACCAAGCACGTCATTCGTCTCAACTAAACCATAACCACATTTCATCTGTATCACAAAAGCTCATAAATTTTTTTTTTGCTAGGCAAAAGTGAAACATAAATACAATACTGTGAAATTCTTAACTAAGAAACTGGTATCAGAAATACACTATAGGACATAATTTAACTATGAAAAAACTTAATGCTTATTCACATACGGAGCCAACCTCCCTCTCAGAGTCAGCTGGCATACGCAGCCACTGCCTCCTACAACTGCAGGTGTCATGCCCACACTTACTAATTCTTGACTGTCATGTCCTTCTTCATCATCATCGTCCTCCTCAGCATCACCTTTCTGAACAAATTCATTTTTTGTGCGCAAATACAACTCCCATAATTTGCAGGCAGCTTTATATTCAGGAGAATCAGGCTGCAGAAACAAATCAAACATTCTACTCAAAATTCAGATCATTCTTGTCTGAAGGAAATGTTTAAATTATTAGTTGAATGGTATTAAATGCATTAAATAAACACGTAATAGAAAACCTGGGAAATTCCTGCTTCAGTTGTTCTTCAACAGAGATACTAAGAATCACAATCAGCACTAGAAAATACAACTTCTATTGCACCAAAGCATTTAAGTCCTTCAGAAAACTTAGCAATAAAATTACTTGGGTTGAGGTCTGGACAAGCCTATTGCATGAATCTGAAAAAATCATTAAGTTTTGCTGATGCATAACACTACTGATATTTAAAATAGAATAAATATCAGTATGCCAGAAATGTGATTTAAGCAAATACTGCTGCCGTTGTGTGGCACTTGAAAACTGATTTCTACAGAAGAATGCTAATAACTCTGTCAGTATCTTTGAAAAGACTTCAATGATTTAGATGCAGCATTAACTGAAATTCCAAAGAACCTGATAACATGCTACCACCTGGGTATACATCTGGGTGTATTTTTTGGAAGAGCTAGGTGTGTTAGTCAGCAAATTAAGTTTTGTAAATACAGAGTTGGTAGTGCCAGACAAGCATGTGCCTATAACATTACTACTTAAGAATGTTACCCAAAAAAAAACAGCTTTTCCACTCTTACATATTTTTCTTTCCCTTTCTGCTGTCACTTCACCTGTATGTCAGGTATTCCTGCAGATATCTTACTTTTTTACTGTGGATTACGCTCATCTTATTTCCCTGTCTCAACCTCTGGCAGCTTGCACCACAAGTGAGAAACCAATATGACAACTATCCCTAAGCCCACCTCACTAGGATTAAATATTCTCAAGACATGGGACCAGGTGTTAATCATGAAGCACAGTTAAAAGAACACTGTGCTCCACTCATCTGCTTCCTTGTGTATTAATGCAAGACACTCAAAAGTGTAAGACTTGAACCAAAATACTAACAAACCCAAAGGTTTCCATTCTAATCCAGCACTGCCACTAAAACTCCTGCTGCAATAAAGACCTTGACAATGAATCGATCTCCCTGTTTTATATGCGTCATTGGAACTGCGTGGGTAAGGTAAAAGATGAAAGAAGAAGAGGCTGTGTTTGTGTGCCGTACCTCCAGCTCACAACTCCGTATTTCTCTGGAAATGTCAGTATTTCTTCACCCTAGAACGATGGCTACCTATTTCTATTTTACATGCATGATTTTTACATTACAGGCAAAATTCTGAGTCCACCATTCTGTAGGCAAAAGAAACCATGAAAATGCCAACACTAATGGGCAAGTGCCTTTTGAAGCTTCAGGAGTACACAACCAACTTGGAAATCCTTGTACTTTTTTCTACTGGAACCAGAACGTGCAAATGTTTTATTTCATAAATCTGATTGTTTTTCAAACAGCTACACACAGACATATACAAACATAAGCAAAACAAACACTGCTTTTCTGAATGTCACCTGGCTGTGCTGGTTGGGTTATTCAGAAAGCAGTCATTTGGATCATCTCCAAAGTCAAAGATAATTTAAAGGTAACTTTAGCAGTTTTAGACTTGCTGCATCATCTCACTCACTACATACAATTTCACTGTTTTATGTATTTAACACAGCCTTCCATTAAACCAGATTCATCCATTTTTCCCCCACTTCCTTATGGCAACTACAATAAAAAACATTAACGTCTAAAATAAGACACATACCCAATATGTGGGAATAGACATCAGGGTTGCACCCTTAATGAAATACATCATCACCTACACACAAAATCTATCGTAACTGACCATGATAATCAATATGCCTTTATTTCATACTATTAAGTGGTCAATGGAAGAGAAAGATTCAGCACTGCTACTGTACACTTCTGGTTATTTATAAACTCTTCCTATTTGAAGGAAAATCATAGTCATCTTTTTAGATTTCAAAACGTCACATAAGAGTGTGTTGTACAATGGGAAAGCTTTGATAGACAAGTATTTTTCTCAGTTTATATCTCCATTTTTGCTTTCTATCTCTTTTGGAAAACTATATGAAGATCCTCCCAACACTATTTTATAGTTTTCCACAGAAAAAATTGCTATGGTTGGACATCTTATAAAGATATGGTCAACCTTAGGGAAATACATGCAAATAACTGCAACATGTGCTGTTCTCTTACCAATAATAAAGACTAAAGAGAAAAGCTTTTTGGCCAAATCAAGGAAGAAATTAAACACAACTTGATGACCTTTTATAATGAATTTGAGCCTTTACATGTATTCTCCTCACCTTATAATAAGCCTTTGCGTTGTTGAAGAGAAGCTGAAAATCTGCAGTCAGCACATTCACGTCATCATATTCCTCCATCTTTAGCTTTTGTTGGATTTTCATTAAATCAATTGGCTGAGAAACCACTTCATAATAATCTGGCTGATTTCTGTCGCAATGGCAAAACCAGGCATTATATTTCAAGCAGCAAAACCAAACCCACAGCACTAAAGTTTGGACGTGTCAATGACTAAATAAAACAAAGTTCCAACGCATTTTTGTTACAGCTCAAACAGCTGGACAGTGGTCTATTAGTGAGCTTACAGTATTACATGCTCTGTTATCATCCTCAGTTTTCTGAGTTTGAGATAAAATTCAGTCTCTTACTTTATCTACTGTATTTTCAAGGGTCACTTCCATTAATCTTCCCAAAGACATGCCTTTATTACATTGCACCACTAATGTGGAACATTTTATAGTCGAAGGCATAGATGTTTTACGCAGATGTCACAAGAAATGTTTTAAATTAATTCAGCATATCCTTTTTTGACTGAAAAAGGGCACTAATGTTATCATGTCCATTGAATAATTACCTCAAATGCTTGGATCAAACATTGGTGTGACACTATGACAAATTCAGATTAGATTTTTCACAGCTATTAATACTAAAGTATACCTCAATATCCACTTACTCCCTGACTAAATCTCAGATTCAAGGCTTAGCCAGAACCACGGCCTTACCTTCGCTTCGGTGCCCTAATGAAAAGCTCACAAAGGAGCCTGCCCTGTTCATCTTTGTAATCTCTGATGGTGTTGTAAAGTTCATGGCATACAGCAATCTAAAATGCAAAACCAATAAAGTAATGAAAAAATAGAAAATTTTAAGAAGGTAACAAATCAAAGCCTACTAAGAATGGGAAGACAAGATGCCAATCCACAGTGTGCTCTAAAGGAGAAGTGTGAAGAAACTGCTGCATCTCACACATTAGTACAACACCTGACAAGTACTGCAGAATTCTAATTTATTTTTTTGAACACAGGGAGCTTTCTTTCAATGCTAATTCTAAATAAAACACCCAGAATGTAAATTAATTCAGTACAAATCTCTCTGAGTTATAGACATCTAAAACAAAACCAGGGGTGGTTCTGCCCTGCAGTTAATCAAAATTAGACTGCTATCTCAAAGGCATAACAGAGACACTTGTGCACTTGGGCAATCATTGCCTGTGCCATTCCCCACTTATCTGTCTCCATATTTGCTATTCAGACACAGCTCTCAACTTGTCAGTTATGATTTCAGCTCCTTCTCCAATATCCCTCCATCTGCTAAAATCATGGTGGGGCGGAAGGGTAGGAGGCAGGGGGAAAGGCAGCAAAAGCAAAATGGGAAAGAAAAACATGAAACTGGGAAGGCAAGAACAAGCCAAAACCAAATGAGATCCTAAACAAAGTTAGCCAAGGCAGCAACAGATTCAGGGCCAATATATATGTGCTACACAAGATCACCAATTTTATTAGTCTGCATTTCCCAGGGGGGGATACAGTATCACTAAGAAAAAACGCTGTCCATTATAAGATGATACTAACAGGATCTACAGTTGGGAGATTGGAAAGTCTCCTCCTCTTTCTGCTCGGGCCTGGTATGTTTGTGGAGTGGTGGGCATCATCAAAGTCTCCTCCGCTGACGCTGCTGGAAGGAGAGGTAGCTCTTCGCCTCTTGGAACCCATGGAATCCAACTTCTTCTATAATGAAGACAAATGTTCTTAAACTCATGGCACTGCATCCAAACTCTCTGGTGAGAGCTAACTATAAAGCTATCAATGCTCAGGATGAGCCACATGTATTTGTTATACTACAGTTCACTTAATCCATATATCTAAACACTAGCTTTTTGTAAATTGGCAAGACTAAAGGGAAATCAAAACGGTCCTACAGTTTTAGTCACTTATGACACCAATATAAGAAAACCTAAGGCTCACAGTAATGCACATGAATTCAGCAGCTCTTACTAGTATATGTTCTCAAACTATCTCCATTTTGATACCTCATTTCATGCATGATAGCTAAGCAAGAACCACTGTTTAGATGAAAAAGCTGTAGAGACGTGTTCAGGTCTGGTGTAAAAGCGCATCAATTCCTATAAAAAAAACCCCAACAACCAGCAAACCAACATAAACCAACCCAAAACCAGAACCAAACCAAAACAAACCCACAACCAACAAACCCAACAGGAAGTAAACAAATCACAAACAAACATTCAAATGGCTGCTGAATACCTTGTCTCAGATTCAAGCCAAAGAAAGGTCTGGACCATTGTGTGACTCACCACTCCCAGGTTAAGTGTAGGATGAATGGCTCAATCAGCAAGCAGCAGAAAAGCCACTTTCTTTTTCGGCCATATTTTTCCATTTACCAACACAAACACATATCCACCATCCAACAACAATGGTAAGTTAGGGAACAAGTTGTTGGCTCTTTCCCAGCTTAAAGCAATAGCATCAGAAAAATATGATTGTAGGTGTCTCAAAAGCTGAAGACAGAATAGATGCATCTATCCCAGCTTATACCCATCTTCCAACCAAATCAAGGAATTTCTTCTAGGAAGCACTAAGTTGATTTACAAGGTATGGCAGCACAATACAACCGCATTAAAGCATTTATATTAGAGACGGAATTAATTTGAAGCACACAAATGAGTTGAACAAGAGTAAGGTAAGAGTAATTAACAGTCAGGATAAAGAAAAGCAAAATCCTAAGGCAGAGGAATGGAGAGAATGGTGCACATACAATCAGTAATTTGCCAGATTTACCAGAGTACAACCAGCACCTCGAAAAGCCAGTCTCCTCATAGTGTCTGATGGCCAAGTACAGGTACTAGGAGAAGGTAACACTCTAAGAGTAGCAATGGTGTTAGTACAGTCAAAACTGGAAGACAAGAAAAAGGAAGGAGAGATAGAAGAAAATTGAGAGTAAATAGATAATTAAAGAATAAAATCAGAGAATAAACTGAATAATTACAGTGACAAAAAAAAAAAAAAAAGAAACAGAAGGTAGCTTATTTTAGCCTAGCAGGAACTCTACAGAGCAATTTTGTACACAGAATGCTAGACAGTTCTGTAATTTTTACAGTAAAAACACATTTCTCTAACGTTCCCGAATACATATTACAGATTTCAGAGCCACTTGCTAAAGAATGATTCATCAAGCAGAACAGGGAGTAAACATAAGCAATATCTGACCCAAGAGTGAAAACAATAAAGCAGTAACACAGAATGCAAAGCAGTATGGTGCTAACACTAAGAAAATACATTTTAAGGTCAAGAAACATCTAATAGGTTCTCTCAGTGATGGTGCACCTCCACCAGTCTTCAGAATGGATTTTTATCCTCATAAGTAAACAACATTAAATACCCAGCCATACAGGTTTACTACAGATCTACCTGTTTCAATTTCTAAGCAGTCTCTGATTTTTCCCTCTGCAAAATTTCATGTGAAACGTGCAGAACCATCATATGGCAAAATGATTGCTTCTGTGTAGTTCATACAACTGTCTTCAGTCAAACCCCAGAGACTGCTCTCCTCTTTGGTATTCTGGGCATTTTCGTAACACACACATACAGAAGAACCCCGTGCTATATTAGCAGCAATTCACCTCAGGAATGGACATGCAGTCTGTCTCTTTTGGTGCTGCCTCCAACTTTTATCTGAAAGCTACAGTATCAAAGAGCTAACAGCAGGCACATGCTGATGTGGAGGCTGTCAGAAAAGGTAAGTTCGTGGCTGTAAAAGGCAGGAGGGACTCCTGGGACAGATCATTCTGGCTCACCCAGAAACCCAAAGGTACACTCAGTCCAATCCCACCCTGAAATAAAGATGTAGGGACCCCCCTCAACCAGCACCTACAAACTGCGCAGCGGGTTCTCCACCTCAGTTACCTGAGGCACACAGCAAGCTGCAGCTCTCAGCCACGCACAGACACTGGTGCACACTTGTGCTATTATCCAGACACCTGGCCATTCTGTGTGCAGCCAAGACCATTTTCCTCCTCTAATAACTGAGGAAGGTGCAAAAAACATACCAGTCTAAACAACATCATGAATACACACTGAAAGAACTGCTTACATTAAATTCCTACTGAATGTCAGGCTCCTCTCTCTAGATCTCCCTGCTCAAAACCACAGACAACCCAATCTCACTGTGCACAGAAATGCATTATGTTTTACCTAAGAACATGTCACAGAACACCAGATTAGAAGGGACCTCGAGTTCTCCTATACTTTCTTATGCAACATAACTGCTGGCTCATGAGTATTTCAACAGTCCCACCAAGAATCTCCACCACTACAAACAACGGGAGCTTGAGCGTCGCCTTAATAAGTGCTCTCACCACCCATAATAAAAGTCACACAACCATGGACATGCCTTTAAGAAACGCTTTGGCCATTGCTAATATACACGGATACTAATATATACACAACGGGTGGAAGGCTGCCTCTCCCGAGAGCCACGCTATACTGATCCCCACAAGAATGACCCAGCCTCACCTCATTAAACGAGCAGGTTTTACATGCGTTTGAGATAACATACTTCAAACAAGCCAATGAGATTCTAGCATACTTTGAATTTTCTGCCTCCAAGTAGAAAAAATCTAAAAGCCGACAGATACCACAGAAAGTATTTGATCGTTACTGGGATCTCCCACACTTCCACAGAAATACTCACTGAAACATGGTAAATTTAGCAAACGGAACAAGGGAGGGAAACACAGCCAGCATTTCCCCCGCGTACGGATGACACTGAAGGAACCTGGCTACAACGTGAGAGTGGGACAGCGGCCATCGGACGCTCTAAAAGGACAAAGCTGACGAAGAAGCCAGCGGCACAGAACATCGATCCTTTTACCAACACCGGCACAAGAAACAAAACAGCGAAACACCGTTTCCCCAAGCCGCCCGAAGCGGGCCCTTGCCCGCAACCTTCCCTTTTCGTGAAGTGTCACTGTCGGCAGCAGTAGCAAGAGACAAAGAAAAACTCCTCTCGGGGCACCGGGCGCGCCTGTGCCCCGCGGCCTGACAGGACGGTGTCCCCGACCCGACCCGCGCTGCCCCCCACACCGGCACGGACCAGCTCCCGCGCCACGGGCCTCGCTCTCGAAGCCCCGGTAGCGGCCGCCAGCCCGCAGCCACCCGCTGCCCGTTGTCACTGCTGCGAGCTCGGCCGCTGGCAGGACGGAGCGACGGGGGCGGCGGCACCGAGGAGAAGGCGGAGGGAGACACCGGGGCCAGCGCGGTCGCCACAGCGGAGAGGAGCAGAGACAACGCGAGGGCCGTGGTAGGGCCGGGGTTGCGGCGGGATGCGGGGAAGAGGGATGTAACAGGAGAAGGCGGAGGAACTGGGCGCTCCCGGGCTCGGCCGGGACCCGCCGCGGCGGAGCTGCTGCGCGCCCCGCGGCGGCCACACAAAGGGAAGCAGCGGCCTCCTGGCTTCGGCCCTGCCGCCCCGACTGCGCGACCCCGGTGCCGCGCCGCTCACCCAGCCGGCTCCGCTCCGCCTCCGACAGCCGCGGCCGTACTCGCCCTCCGCCGCCCGCCCCGCCACCGCTGCCACCGGTACCACCGGTGCCGCCGCCGCTCCGTAGCGCCGAAGCCTCCGCTGCCGCAAAGCCCTCCCGGTCGCCAAACGCTCCGAGCTCGCACGACACCTCCGGCGAGGAAGGGCCGCTTCGCTTTGCGGCAGCGCCCGCCGGCGGGAGGCGGGCGGAGGAAGGAGCAGGTCTATCCACGTGGGGCAGTGGTTGAGCGCGGCCCGGCGGCGCCATGAAGCGGCCCAGTGAGCGGCGGGAGCGGGGCTCGGGCGGATCACGGGCGATGCCGTTGGGGAGCGCGCTGAGGCGAGGGGATGACAGGGGGGCCGCGGCTGCGGCCAGGGACACCGCGAATGGGCCGGTGGGGGGGTGGGGGGCGGAGGCGGGAGGAGGCAGCACGTGGCCGAGCGAATGGCGGCGGCATCTGACACCGGGGCTGGAGGACGCGGGACGGCGGGTGGGCCGCGGGCAGCCGGCGCTGACGGGTGCCGTGCGTTGCAGAGCTGAGGAAGGCGAGCAAGAGGCTGACGTGCCACAAGCGCTACAAGATCCAGAAGAAGGTGAGAACCGGCGGCCCCGGTCGGTGCGGAGCCCTTGGGGCGGGGGCAGGCTGTGGCTACGGGGTCTCCACGCTGACTACTTCAGCGGCAAAAGCGGGGATTTAAGTTTTAAAACTCTATATACCCATGTATATATATATATAACTATTATATAGCTACTACAGAAACGTGTACGCAATAAGGAGGCTGAGCTGTAGCGAAGAGTTACCTTTCCAGTTACCATTGGCCCGGGGATGATGTAGGAAAGAGCGTACATATTTTGCATTATTTTTGGCTGGTACGTTCAAGTGTAGCTTTGTGATGAGACTTTATGCAAGAAAACACTTAGCCTAAATCAGAAACGTACCGATTCTTACTCTGTATCTGTAAATAGGAGGGATACATCCCCCTTTCCTCCTTTTTTTCCTTAGACTGAAAAAATATCCTTGTTCCTGTCCTCAGATCAGAGAACACCACCGAAAAGTCAGGAAGGAGGCCAAGAAACGTGGACGCAAAAAGCCTAAGAAAGATCCTGGTGTTCCTAGTGCTGCACCATTTAAAGAACAGCTTCTACGGGAAGCAGAGCAAAGAAAACAGAGGGTAAAATACAGTTTGTGCTAAAGAGTTCAAGAACCGAGACCATTCCTGTCTTCCGGAGAGCTTTGTGTGCGTGTGTATGCACATGTGCGCACCCAGAGGTGCACTCATGGTTGATTGATGATCCTGTATTTATTTCCAGCATTATACAGTGTGTAACAATTTGTCCGTTTTATCACCATATGTATAAACACACTGGAAATGTCATTTCTGATGTGATCCAAGTTGCCTGGGAGGCTGAGATACACAGATATTGCATCAGAATGTTAGGTTTTGGCATTATGTGATTATTCAGAAAACAGGGATCTGCTGTCTGCAAGATGGTGTAATGTGACATGAGAACGCCACCGTTTTCAGCTCCCATGTGTTTGCTGCACAGCTGTTATTTTGGGGTCTGTACGGCCTCTGGTTTTGAGGCAGTTGAAGGCAACTATTTTCAGAGTAGGATGCAAGAAAAGTTGTCAGTGTCACATGGACAGCCATGACTTCTGACTGAGCTGCCTCAGGCACTTTGGTCAGGAATAAGTAAACAGGGAGAAAGAACAGTCTTCCTTCCCAACTATGTTTTATCTGGCTTGGGGTTTTGTTTGTAATCAGCTTGAAGAACTAAAACAAAAGCAGAAGCTCAACAGACAGAAAGAACATGAAAAGAAGAGGAAGCTTGAAGCTAAAAAGAATGCCAAAATTAAGGAAAAAGCAGAAGGAAAGGTAAGTGTCTGGTATGATTTTGATTCTTTAAATCTTATAGAAGCAATAAAAGCAATCCTGAAGCTACATTTTCTTAAGCAGTGTGTTACGTGTTACATATTTATGCTGTATAAGCATGCAAGTATAATGCACTAATTTTCAAATGATTCCCCTTCATTTTTATTTGCATTCAGGAATCCTCTGTAAAATCTAAAGCAAAGGCTAACAAATGGCTGGATAAAAATTCAAAGGAGTCATTCTGCAGCGAGCTCAGGAAGGTGAGACGCGTCAACTGTTTTTATATAATCTGATGAGAGTCAGCAGTGAGACCACTTGTTAGTTTCCTTTTTTGCATTCCTGCGCAGCTGCTGGAGAGTGTAAAGGTTGCTTGTGCTAAATTTAACACTCAAGTAAGGGATTTTACAACAGTAACTGCGAGGGTTTCAGTCTTGTCTGGTGTGAGCTACTGAGACATTCAGCACTTTGAGGCATTAGACTTCTTGGGCCAATGCCAGTACATAGTGAGTAATCAAAAAGTTCTTGCAGTAAGGAGGTACTAAGGATTTCTTGCCTTTGGAGGAAAAAAGATGACAATTGCTTCAGCTTTTCTGGTTTGTAGTTCACAGGAAAGGAGCTCCAACAAGAACAGTCATAGGGAACCTCACCAATCTGTGAAATTTAACAGTAACTGTTGTAAGCCACAGCTATTCCAGAGGTGGCATCTGTCAAATGCTCTGTAATGTCTTATTTGAAAGTCTTCTCTTTTCTCACCTAGGTGATTGAGGCCTCAGATGTGGTTCTAGAGGTTTTAGATGCAAGAGATCCAATGGGCTGCCGGTGTCCTCAACTGGAGGAATCTGTAACTTGCTCTGGAGGAGGCAAAAAGCTAGTGTTGGTTCTGAACAAAATTGGTAAGAGGCACAGGTTTTTTTGAACTGCTACTTTGGTCACTGTGGTCCTGTGGCATATGAGCTATGAAGAAGATTTTAAGGGAATCTGGGATTCAGCTGAAGACATAAGATCCAACTCTGAGCTCACTGCCCTACTGAATGGGTCACATTTCCTCCACCTTTTGTCTATTTTGCTAAGAAAACACAACAGACAGTTACACGCACATTAGCCCATTTCTTTTGCAGTAACTTCTGAAGGCTTCAGCCAAATTTGGGAGAAGTTAAAGATCTTACTGTTTAACATTTTGGTGAACACAGGTGAGTAGGCAGGTCACCATGCTGGTCCCCACTGAGGCAGTGGCAGTTAAGGATCAGTAAGTGAGTGCAATAGTTGGATTTGAAATTTGTCTTTGGGAAGTATTTTCTCTTTCATTACTATATGAAAGAGTCCACAGAAAAGGTGAAACCGGCTAAAAAGGCTGGATATTACTGGAGTTACCAGCAGTGAAAAAGAGCAAAGGGAACTTTGTATTAGAGTAGCCTTCGCAGGGATGATGAGATAATCCTTAACAGAACATCACATTGTACTGTACAAAGTTTTGTAGCAAGATCCCAGCATTAAAAACCCGATACAGAGGCCTAATGTAACTCTGGTATGTTCTGCTTGAGGCAGAAAATACAATTTATTTGCAACACTGGTTGCCTTTGGGCAGTATATCCAGTACATATAGAGTTTTCAGCCAAACATTGTTTGTCATAAAGGAGCGTACTAAATACAAAATACAGCTTTGTTTCTGGCTCACGTTAGATTTCCCCCCCAGAGTGATATTTAAGATTCAAAGGACTGACTGTGCTCTTTTTTCCAGACCTAGTGCCAAAGGAGAACTTAGAGAAATGGTTGAATTATTTGAAGAAGGAGTTTCCAACAGTTGCTTTTAAATCAGCAACACTGATGAAAGACAAGACTCTGGTAAGAGCACTGCAGGCTGTCTCACAGTTAAGCCATACGCGCTTGTAATCATACATGTTGAAACACGTTGAGAAATGGGAACTCTTGTCCTTTAAAATTCTTTTTCCCCTTGTTTGATTATACTGCCATGACTGGTATATGCCTTTGCACTTTGACTAAGCTTTGAGGGAATTCTTGTTGTTGAAATACCTATCATTATTTGTGCTCAGGGTGCTGGACTACAGAAAAAGCAATTCTTTTTTCTTATTGTAAGGAGGAAGATGAGGAATAGGATGGTTGCACCAATAACATCTGAATTGTGTGTAGGTAAAGTGGTGCAGGCAGTACTACTGCATTCATCCTGATTGTAGCTATCAATAAAGATAGCACCAGACATTATCTCATAAGGAGTATAGAGGGATTAGCAGCCTGGGTCCTAGTCTCAACTCTTTGAAGATGCTTATTTGAGTCATATAAATACATAATGCTTTACACGTCTTAGCTCTGATAACAGCGCAATGAAACAGACCCTCTCACAAAATGGTGCGGGAACTGCAATGCAGAGAGCAGGTTTTGAAATCCTTCAAACAACTGAAGAAGATGAGTGAATCTGCAGGTTTAAGATTCTACCCTCTAAAAGTTCATGGTTATTTCATTGCTGCACCACAAATCTGCAGTAAAGCCTGAACTGAATTCACAAGCCCTATAAGTTGGTTCACATTCCTTTTGCTCTTAGTAGTTGATGGCTACCCTTTTTATTGTAACTTAACTGATCAGCCAATTTCTTAAGCTAATTCCTTCTGTTTAAAAGAACACAGTAACAGAATCATAGAATAAGTTGGGGTTGGAAAAGACCTTAAGATCAAGTTCCAAACCACCCCTGCCATGGGCAGGGACACCTTGCTCTAAATCATATTACCCAGGGCCTCATCCAGCCTGGCCTTGAACACTGCCAGGGATGGAGCATTCACAACTTCCCTGGGCAACCTATTCCAGTGCCTCACCACCCTAACAGGAAAGAATTTCCTCCTTATATCCAATCTAAACTTCCCCTGTTTAAGTTTTAACCCATTACCCCTTGTCCTGTCACTACAGTCCCTAATGAAGAGTCCATCCCCAGCATCCCTATAGGCCCCCTTCAGGTACTGGAAGGCTGCTCTGAGGTCTCCATGCAGCCTTCTCTTCTCCAGGCTGAACAGCCCCAAATTTCTCAACCGATCTCCATATGGGAGGTGCTCCAGTCCCTGATCATCCTCATGGCCTCCTCTGGACTTGTTCCAACAGTTCCATGTCCTTTTTATGGTGAGGACACCAGAACTACACACAGTACTCCAAGTGAGGTCTCACGAGAGCAGAATAAAGGGGCAGGATCACCTCCTTCGACCTGCTGGTCACGCTCCTTTTGATGCAGCCCAGGATACGGTTGGTTTCTGGGCTGCAAGCGCACACTGAAGCTGGTTCATGTTCACTTTCTCATTGACCAGCACCCCCAAGTCCTTCTCCGCAGGGCTGCTCTGAATCTCTTCTCTGCCCAGCCTGGAGCTGTGTCTGGGATTGCTCCAACCCAGGTGTAGGACCTTGCAGTTGGCATGGTTAAACTTCATGAGGTTGGCATCAGCCAGGGACCTCACAAGCGTGTCAAGGTCCCTCTGGATGGCATTCCTTCCCTCCAGCGCATCAACCGAACCACACAGCTTGGTGTCATCACAAACTTGCTGAGGGCGCACTCAATCCCACTGTCCATGTCAGTGACAAAGATGTTGAACAAGACCGGTCCCAACACTGATCCATGAGGGACACCACTCCTTACAGGTCTCCAGCTGGACACTGAGCCATTGACCACAACTCTTTGCGTGTGGCCATCCAGCCAGTTCTTTATCCACCGAGTGGTCCATTCATCAAATTGATGGCTCTCCAATTTACAGACAAGGATGTCGTGTGGGACAGTGTCAAACGCTTTACACAAATCCAGGTAGATGACATCAACTGCTCTACCGCTGTCCATCAGTTCTGTAGCCCCATCATAGAAGGCCACCAAATTGGTCAGGAAGGATTTCCCCTTAGTGAAGCCATGCTGGCTGTCACCAAGCACCTTATTGTTTTTCATGTGCCTTAGCATGCCTTCCAGGAGAATGTGCTCCAAGACGTTGCCAGGCACAGAGGTGAGGCTGACTGGTCTGTAATTCCCCGGGTCATCCATTGTCCCCTTCTTGAAAATGGGGGTTATATTTCCCTTTTTCCAGTCTTGAACTTCACCTGACTGCCATGATTTTTCAAATATGGTGGCCAGCAGCTTAGCAGCTTCATTCGCCAGCTCCTTCAGGACCTGCGGATGGATTTCATCAGGACCCATGGACTTGTGCACAATCAGATTTTTAAGATGGTCTCGAATCAGATCCTCTCCTACAGTGGGCCCAAGGTCTTCATTCTCGCAGTCCCTGTGTCTGCCTTCCAAGACTTGGGTGGTGCGGTCAGAGCCTTTGCTAGAGAAGACCAAGGCAAAGAAGTCATTCAGAACCTCAGCCTTCTCCAAATCCTGCGTAGCTAGTTCTCCCGAGAGCTTCCTGAGGGGGCCTACATTCTCCCTAATCTGTTTTTTATTTGCTGTGTACCTGTAGAATCCCTTCCTGTTATCCTTAATATCCCTAGCCAAGTTTAATTCTAACTGGGCCTTAGCTTTCCTAACCTGGTCCCTGGCTTCCCGGACAACATCCCTGTACTCTTCCCAGGCCGCCTGTCCTTGCTTCCACTTTCTATAAAACTTTTTTCATTTGAATTTTCCTCAGGAGCTCCTTATCCATCCAAGGAGGTCTCCTGGCCCTCCTGCTGCACTTCCTTCTAGTTGGGATGCAACGCTCCTGAGCTTGTAGCAGGTGATCCTTGAATATCAACCAAGAGTCTTGAGCCCCCCTGCCCTCTAGGGCTATATCCCATGGAACCTTACTAAGCAAGTTCCTGAAGAGGCCAAAGTCTGCTCTCTTGAAGTCTAGAGCTTGCTGCACGCTCTTCTCACTGTCCTAAGGATCTCAAATTCAACCATCTTGTGGTCGCTGCATCCAAGGCTGCCCTGGAGCATCACATTTCCAATGAGCCCTCCCCTGTTGGTGAGCATGAGGTCAAGCATGGCACCTCTCCTTGTCAGTTCCTCTATTACTTGCAGAAGGAAGTTGTCTTCCACACAATCGAGGAACCTCCTGGATTGCTTGTGCCGGGCCATACTGTCATTCCAACAGATGTCAGGGTGGTTGAAGTCACCCATGAGAACGAGGGCCTGTGAGCCCTGAGATAGGCTTTTCCTATCTGCCTATAGAGTGCTTCATCCACAGATTCCTCTGGATCAGGGGGTCTATAACATATCCCCACAGTAATGCCTCCCATCGCTATTTTCCCTTTAACCCTGACCCACAAGCTCTCTGTTAACTGCTCACCAGTCCCCAGACAGTTCCATACTCTCCAGCCTATCCCTAACATAAAGGGCAACTCCCCCTCCGCACCTGCCAGGCCTGTTTTCTAAAGAGCCCGTAACCTTCCATTCCAACACTCCAGTCATAGGAGCCATCCCACCATGTTTCTGTGATGCCTACTATATCATACCTCCGTAGATGAGCACACATCTCTTAATTCCTCTTGTTTGTTCCCCATGCGACGGGCATTTGTATAGAGGCATCTGAGCTGAGCTCCAAATGAAGCCGGCTCATTGGCTGGAGCAGCCGGAATATCTCTGCATTGGTCCAAGCATTTATTATAGGTGCTGGCAATTGACTGTCATCCAAGACTCCGTCCAACCTGGCCTTGAACACTGCCAGGGATGGAGCATTCACAGCATCCTTGGGTAACCCATTCCAGTGCCTCAGCACCCTAACAGTAAAAAACTTCTTCCTTATATCCAGCCTGAACTTCTCCTGTTTAAACCCATTGCCCCTTGTCCTGTCGCTACAGTCCCTAATGAAGAGTCCCCTCCTAGCATCCTTATAGGCCCCCTTCAGATAGCGGAAAGCTGCTATGACGTCTCCACGCAGTCTTCTCCAGGCTGAACAGCCCCAATGTTCTCAGCCTGTCTTCACCTAGTAGAGATTATTACAGTCAATAAATAAATCTAAGCAATATGTATTTACTTTCCTAAGCAGCTCCTGCCCATGGTTTGGGGTTTTTTTATGCCTTTGAATCTTGTAGCAGGAGCAGTCCACAAAGAGACGTGCACGTGTTGATGTATCGAGAACCAGTGAATGTCTTGGAACCAAATGCCTTTTGAAACTTCTGCAAGAGTATGGCAAGACTCAAAACAAAGCCATTCAGGTTGGGGTTGTAGGTAAGTTGTTTAGAGAGACAGGAAGAGTTTCTTTCTCCCATAAAGCTCTGGTATCCTGTATTATAAATCAGGTAAAGCAATTAACACATGAACTGCTAATAGGCTTTCTTGTCATTGCCCTTACTTTCATCTAAGACTTCAGTTGACAATGATTTATGTTACATTTAAACGTATGTATGCAGTGTCTGTGACCTGTGAGAGGCATGTTGTGTGAGCCTTTAGCTGATACACCAGCTTAGGACAACAAGAGAAGCAGGTTACGTATCACGCAGCTTGTGGTGTCTTCCTCCCACCTGATACGATACGTGATGTTACACTCCGTTACCAGTGTGAGAAATGAGGATATGCACTTTGTCTTACTTCTGTAGTGAAGACTTCAGATCCAACTCTGATCTCACACTGAAGATGTACTTTACCAAAGACACCTGAAAGAAACAATTTTTGATTAGTGTCACATGGGCTTAGTTTTCTTACTTACAAGGATTTATGTGGTTTTCTTCAGGTTTCCCTAATGTGGGAAAGAGCAGCATAATCAACAGCCTTAAAGGAGTTCGTGCTTGCAACGTTGGTTTAACAAGAGGTGTTACCAAGTAAGCTGAGTGTGATAAAAGCTGTTCATTTCCCTGTTTGTTGTTGTGTTCAGATTACCTTGAGTTTGTGTACAATTTCCATCCATTTGGGGGAAAATACGCCCCTGTATGCAGTTTTTAAATGCACATTTCCCTTTGCCAGGATGGAAGATACTGATCTGTTTGGTGCAAACTGTCAACAGAGAGCACTGGGTATATAAACTTGCTCTTTTTGTACCTTTGGATTTCTGTCCTATGCAAAGCATATGATGAAAAAGCACTGAAACTGACTCTGTATGAAGTGTATTCAGTCCAACAGTGAGCTTTGTGTCTTGCACCCCTCACCATTACCAGTCCTTTGCTTAGTTGTTTATCTGTTCACAGTGTGTTTCTCCCTGAATAGGTCCATGCAAATCGTGCACATTGATAAACAGACAAAGATGTTGGACAGTCCAAGTATAATTGCAGATCCCTCCAACAGTGCCCTGGCTCTGGCCTTGAGAAGTATCATAGACACCGAAGAATCAGACTTAGCAGATCTGCTTGAAGGAATATGTGCAATTCTAAGTCACTGCAATAAACAGCAGGTGAGCTCTTAGCTTTTTCCATATCTCTCAGTGCATTTGACTTCTCAGGGTTTCTTAGACCAGTAACAAAAGTTTGTTTCACTTCTGCTAGTTGTGGTGCTTTTGCATTGCTTTCTTCTAATCAGACAGAATGGCAACACAGAGTGTGATCTTTCATCCTTTGGAATGGAAGGCAGAAGCAGCATGTCATGATCCTGTCAGCCAGAGGCTCTTTTTTCCTATAACTTTCCTGATTAAAAAAAAACCCAACCAACTTGCTTTTAAGATGTCATTACAGTATCAGAGAATGAAAAATGAAGATCTCTGACTCTTTCCTATTATTACAGTGAAGACTTCAGATCCAACTCTGATTTCACTCTAGTTTCAAGTAGATTAACCTAAGCCTAATTTCCATTCAGTTTTGCAAGAAGTGTTTTCACAAACCAGTGTGCTGTCTCTGTACAACCACTACTATGGGTGAATGGCAGATGAATTTGTTGTTGAAGTTGGCATTTTGCTTTGGAATGTTTACTCCCATGTCCAAGAGAAAAAAGGCTCTTCACATACACGTTCATCCTCATAATCCAATTTTATTTGCTCTTTTTACTTCCTAAACCTTAGGAGAAAACTGGGTACCTCTTTCTGAATGCAGTGTTTTCTTCTGCTCTAGGTTATTATGTGCTATAGTATCCCAGATTTTGAGAACCCTGAAGAGTTTTTAGCTTTACTGGCTCAGAAAAGGGGTATGTTGAAAAAGGGAGGTGTTCCTGACATAGAGAATATCACTAAAGTACTTCTTTGTGACTGGACAGGGTATGTATGTATGCCGTGAACTTTGCTTTATGCTGCTCACCACTTCTACTTTGTTAATCCAGCACAGCAGGGGCCACGTTTTACTGTGCTGAAGAGTGATGGGTTGTCTAACAGGTACAGACAACACCATCCATGGACAACTTTCTAAACTAGTGAAGGATACGTGGAAGGAATCAAATCATGTTGCACATTACTCCAGTTTGCTGACTTCTGCTGTAACTGCTAGGGAAATTTGCCTTCCTCTTACGTACTGAGTCCATGTCGTCCTCTTCCATAGCACAGAGATGTGGCAGATTTTCTGTAGGAATTCATAGTGGTTCCTGTATTATAAAAGTGGGAATAAATGTAACTCAGAGTCAATAATTGAGTGTGACTATTTCCCTTGCTCAAATGATTCAGCTGCTTTTACAGCTCGTGATTTTACACGCAGATGATTTGTGGTGACAAAGCATGCCGTTTCTGTTTCCTTTCAGGAGTGGGCTCTCCACTTAATCTGTTACAACTTAAGAGCCAAAAATTAAATAGCTATTTAACTGCTGTTAAATGGATAATAAATGAGTCATTAGGTTGAGAAATTTGAGAGGCTTGTGCTCTGGGTTTTATTTTTAACTACAGTGATTTAACTGTGTTATCTTTGGTTGGTTTTTAATGCTGATATTTTATTTTCCCAGAGCTAAAATAAGCTACTACTCACAACCTCCAGAATCTCAGACACTGCCACCATATCTTACAGAAGACAAAATAGCTGAAATGCAAGAATGCTTTAATTTTAAGAACCTAGAAGAAGAAAACAACAACACTGTTCAAGGTAGGACTGTTACTGTAATGCACTGCTACCATTAAAACTGGGTAGTAGTCATTTTTATGGGAGATTTTGAAGGGAAGTCCTCCTGGGGTTTAGATGATAGCTTTGCCAACATGCAGTGAATAGTAAGAGCCTTTTAAGAAAGAAATGGATTCAGATGCAACAAAACGGTGCATCTGTGTGCTGCCTTAACACAAGTTACCCCTGCTAGTTCTTACTTTCTGCTCATCTGAACTAACCCGTCTAAACAGAAAACAGGGGTAAAGACTGTTGTGGAGCACATAAACCATGGCTGATTTGGCCAACAAAATACATCTTACTCAGTACAATCAGTGCTCCAATTCCAAGTTTTCCAGCTCCTACCAGTCTTCCATAGATGTCTTAGGGAACGCTATTCTCAGAGAATTGTCCTTTGCTCTACCTGCTTACGTGGGAGTGGCATCTTGTGGAAAGGATGAGGCAGGACTGTCTTTCCCTAGCCCTGACCTGAAATGCCTGCCCTCTCAGGGGTAGGCATTACATCTGGTACCATCTATCAGTGACTCAACAGACACTTCCTATTTTTCTGTCTCAGCTTTAAAATGTCCCAGTCCAGCAAACAGCATAATTTTTCAGTCAGCTGGTATGGCAAATGGGACAATAGTGATAGAGGAAGCATCAGAGTGGGAAAACTTGGAAACAAGCAAGGAAGAGGAGGAAGAGGAAGAAGAGGAGGATTTCACAGAAAATGATGATGATCCAAACAATTTGGAAGAAGAATTGGCTGTCGAAGAGGTAAATCAGGTTTCATTAGGCTGCTTCTACTTGTTTAGATCCTGACACCACTTAACCAGTCAGTATCCTGCTGTAAACTGAGAAGGTGTTGGCACTGTGGAGCCACCAGAAAAATCCTGGAGATAAGGGTTGGGTTTTTTGCTTAATTAAAGAATAAACATTATTCTAGGTCAGTGTATTCCTGAGCAACTACAGAAGGGGATGTCCACACTATCAGCAGTCTCTGTTAGGTTTTATTTGCATGAGGACTTCATTAGTGATGTCTGAATAAGCACATCTGACCTCTCTGTCTTGCAGAAAAGCAAAGTTCAGATCACCAGGAAAACAAAGCTTGGAAAACAAACAAGTCCTACAAATTCAGAAAGGCAAATAGCAGGTCTGTATTAAAAACCCTGGCTTGAAGTATAGCCTCTTGTACTCTAGAACTTGCATTGGTTTCAGTAACACATGATTTTCTTTTCTCAGAAAGCGAACATTCCAATTCACTGTTGCTCAACTTGGATAAGACAGCAGATGAAAATGATGCCTACGATTTTAATACGGACTATGTGTAAAGGATTGTGTACAAAGACACTGTTTGGAGACTCATTATTGGCTTTCAGACCAGTCGAGTACTTGTGTGGTGGCAGAAGTTCGAGGAATACTGCATAATAGAGCTGCTGCAAAGATTCACAAATATTGCTGTGTCCAATAATGTATATAATAGTGTTATCTCCTCTCCCTTGCTGATTCCAGATTTTAGATAAGGCAAGGAAACTGTGTGCATCTTTATTTCTTGTATCAAAGCCTATTTTAAAAATTCCTATTAGACTGAGTTAAGTCTGTTCATTTTGCCTTATAGAAAAACGTCTCAAAAAGAAACTCTTAGCCTTTTTCTTTGAAAAACAATGTTAAACATTTAATTCTGGTCATGTTGAAGAAATTAAATTTCAAAATAAGTTTTCATCCTCCATAAGATTTGCTTTTCTTAAAGGACTACAGACACTGTACTAGAACATGGCTTAAATCACTTTTTAGTATGCTTTTACAAAGCTTGTAGGACTTTCATGTGTCAGGGTTGGCCAGAAAACACTCCTTACTTTAGCTGGACAAAAATGTTTCATCTGTCTGGGTGCCTACGCTCTGAGTTGAGGCTCCTGGACGCTGATCTCCCTCCCCGCTTCGGTGTTGAAGGCGTCCTCTCTCGAGCTGCTCACCTCGGCGATTGCAGTAATTGTGCTCTGTTTCTGAAGTCATTTCTGCCTTGGCGAAGCACCTTGTGTACCCCGTTTTTCCTCCTCCCCACCACTATCAGGGACTCCAGTTTACACTTTCCGGTGTATTTGGATGGTTCAGCATCTGTAATAGGCTGCCAGTGGTAAGAAAATAAATCACAAAGTTTGTTCACTGGAAAAGAACTTCCAAGGTCGCAGCCTTTATTGCACGAGCGGAGGATTTCTTTCCCAGTGCTGGTCCTTAATATTTTCTGTAATAATTGAGTTAAACTGCACACAGAACCTGTTCTGTGAGGCTTGCATTCAAACACAGGCTAATCTCACCTTGCATCTCGAAGGAATGTAAACTTCCTGTCTAGAAAGAATTGAGATTCGGATTTGAAGTTACTTAAAACAATTGTTCTGAGTTTTTTACTAGTCTGACAAGTAGATACAAGCTTGCACAATTTGTGACTTGCATTTGGTTTTATCTTCAGTGTATTCTCAGTGAAGAAGCTGCTTAAAGCTGACAAAGCAGCTGTGAGTTGCCATTAATCATTATTAATTTCTCAGCTGCCTGCTTCAAGAAGTGGGCTTAATGCAGGTTCATTGAAACCAAGGTGGAAGGAGAGGCTGAAAAATGCTGTCCTGGCTCAAGAGGCAGATGTGTACGGTTGGGTTAGCATGCTCTTCTAACTAGAGAAGGCTGTTCCACTGCAAAAACCAAGACAGTCTGGCCAAAACATGCAAAGACACAGTAAGATGAGTCATTAGATTATGCTCAGGAGTTTTTTTTCTGTGGGTGTGTACTTCACTGAGTGTATTGAACTAGGGTAGAGTATTCCCTTTCTAACTCTGGGGGCTTTGCTGTGCCTCCGCAGAGTGTAACTCTGAAAGCAGTAATTTTTAACGTACGGGTTGACTCTGGAGAGAAGCTGTCAAAGCAGCTGCAGGTAGGGTAACCCTCAGAGAAGGCTCCTGTAGCTCAAGAAACAGAGAATCCCTCTTCGAGAATATGGTTAAAAGACCATGGTTGTTATGTGAAAGTTTGAGCATGTGGATTCCAAAGCTAACTCCAGCTCTGCCTTTTCATATGCTAAATAGTAAAATAGCCACAGCCTGAGGTGTAGTAGCCAGAGGTATTTGTGATAGATTGTCTTGTGGATGTGTTACAAGAAGAGAATGTCCTTAAATTGCCTACCCTTTTAAAACTTCAGTTATAAGGTCTTCTGTGAAATGAACAAATCAGTTTTATTTCAGGACATGAGCAACTCTGCAAAGACTGGTCTTTTGACAAAGCCTGGTTTCACTAAAAACATTTTATGCTGTTAATTTTTACTGTGATGCTCCTCTGTTTCTAGATGGTCTCTGGCTCTCAAATCCACTAGGAGGTAAACTTTAAAACTTTTTTTTAAGTGGAAGGAACCAGTCATCAAATCCACTCTTGTGCACTTCACAACTCCCCCCCCACCTTTTTTTTTAAGTGAAGGTCTTATTCCCATTTAAAAGGAGAAGTAGTGGTCAGCCAGATGTGATCTCTACTGCAGAAGTCCCCCCATCCCATCCCGAGCCAGGCCACCTCCGGAGTTAGAAATCACAATTTATTTCAAATAAACCATGGGCACGCTGCTGGCAAAAGTCTCCTGGGTGGTTTTCCAGCCCCTTTCCAGTGCCTGTGAAGGAAAGCAAGGGGCAGCAGCACACCATTGGGGTCACCCCCAGCCTGGAGCAAGGGAAGGCATTCCCAGAACAGGTGCCACATTTAAAAATGAAGTTCTAAGTTTTCATTCCTCCCCCCCCGCTTAAAAAGTCTTAAAACTTGAGAGGGCAAGACTACAGTACAGAAACTTCCTGCAGCCCTGGCCCCGCATGGGCAAGAGCAGCAGTCATGGGGGTTGTGGCTTCTATAGGAAGCATTCTGGTACAGTCTGGGAAGCCTGAGGACTCTTAGAGATGAGGCAGCCAATGCACTAATCACAGTATCACAGTATCACAGTATGTTAGAGATTGGAAGGAACCTCAAAAGATTATCTAGTCCAATCCCCCTGCCGGAGCAGGAACACCTAGATAAGGTTACACAGGAACGTGTCCAGATAATATGAGTGAAGCTGAAATAAAAAGAGGATGGGATGCGAGGGTGGAGGTGTCAGGCTGGTGTGGGAACTAAAAAAGGGAAGGAAAACTAAAAGAGAGCAAACATTCCATATCTGCAGCAATAATGCACCAAAGGGAAGCTTGTCCGTTGGAATTAACAGCTCCTGAGACACCATCTACTCACCAGCATACATACAATTGCAGAAGAGTTTGGGCTGAAAGGGACCTTAAAGATCATCCAGTCCAACGCCCTGCCACAGGTATGGACACCTTCCACTAGAGCAGATGGCTTGAAGCCCCTGTGTCCAACCTGGCGTTGAACACTGCCAGTTCTGGGGTAAAGGAATGATCAGCATCAGCAGGCAACGATCCAACACTGCACACAGCTTCTCCTGCCCCAAAAGACTGTTACAAGAGATGGAACCTGACATCATGGACCTAATGAACTCAGCAGAATTATAGGGATTGGTCCATGCACTAAGAAATGATCCCTTTCTCTCTGTCTGTGTGTGTGTAGGTGGATGTACATATGTAAGAGCAATGGTATATTGAAAATGTGGGGTCTGAGCATGACGTGAATGGAATGGAATAAGGGGTGGATACTGTCCTGGGTTTAGCAGTAGTGGTCATTTTTTTCTCCTTCTTAGTAGCTGGTGCAGCGCTGTGTTTTTGGCTTTCAGCCTGGGACCAGCACTGATAACACCGATGGTTTTAGTTACTGCTCAAATGTTTAGACTGGCCCCAGGACTTTGTGAGTCTCATGCTCTACCAGGGAGGAGGGGAAGCCGGGAGGAAGCAGAGACAGGACACCTGACCCAACCTGACCAAAGAGTTATTCCATACCACAGCACGTCATGCCAGGGATGCAACTGGGAGTTACTCGGAAGGGCAGCTCTCTGCTCAGTCAGGCTCGTTTCCGTGGGTGGTATTGTATTCTCTTCCCTTGTTATTTCTCTTACCGTTATTATTATTGGTGGTAGCAGCAGTGGTTTGTGTTATACCTCAGTTACTGGACTGCTCTTATCTCAACCTGTGGGAGTTCCATTCTTTCGATTCTCCTCCCCATCTCTCCGGGAGCGAGGCGGGGGAGTGTGGACTGCGTGGCCGACTTGTCGACAGAGTATAAACCATGACACCGTGCTTATCTCAACTCACATATTTTACTTTTGGGTTTTGGTTTGGTTTCTTTTTTTTTCCTTTGAATCACTTTAGCTATCATTTCCTTATTGGTGATACAGGAGAGAGGGTTGTCGGCTGGCATTGTATCTGCAGGGAGAAAACAACTGATGAACCAGGCACAAGCATGCATCAACACATTAGCAGAAGTACTACAGTATTGGTATGGGAGGAGTTTCTCCTCGCTTATATTTAATGAACCTCCACATTTAACCTCTTAGCACTTCTTTCTTTTTCTTTCTTTTTTTAACGTTGGCAGCCATATTCAGGTTTGTCTTGGTGCCAGAGAGTCAAGGCTCGGTTTTCAAATGGCAAAATCAGCTTAAATACTCCAAGAAATACCCTTTACTTTTTTCTGCAGGAACATGATTTGTTGTCTTTGCCTCTTCTTGTTTGCTTTCTCTGAACAAGTACACCTGAAGCAATTTGAGCTTCTCAAATTCAGTTGAGGAGCAAAGAGGTGTTAATGTCATAAGAAAGATAACGAGGAATAGAAACTAGGTGACTGCAGCATTTATCACTGAAACGGTAATGATATTCCTCCTAAAGAATCTTCTTAGGAAATGGTTTTTGCCTAAGCTTGGAGAAGTATTTTTATGTGAAAGTTGGAAGCTTTTAATGTGTCATTTCTACACTGCAGTCATTCAGGCTTGAGAGGGCAGAGAGAGAAAAAGGCAAGTATGTTAAGGAACGTATCAGCCCAATGCAATGCTGAAAATATGGGATGTCTCGTAAGAAATCCATCCTAGTACATGACTGTCTCCATTTCCTTAACTTACTGTCACTGATCAGTTGACATTTGCCACTTGACTAATCTTAGTCCTAAAAAATCTCAGTTTTATGACACGTCTGGTTTATGCTGTAGATTAACAGGATTGGGGTTCTCCATGAAGTAAACAAAACAACAGGCAGAAACAAACAAGTCACGTGGAAATCCAAATCTATAGGGAATGCAATTGCATTGCATCTTCTGCATCAAGTCAAATATCTAAGAAAATTTAACATTTTCTTCTAACTGATCTTAAGGCTGTTGTGGTTTGGGTCGGGGGAGGGTTTGTGAGTTTTTTTGTTTGGGTTGGGGTTTTTTACGTTTTTGGCTAGTAATGTTGCTCTCTAATCTTTACAATAATTTGGTAGCTACTAGTGGATGTAGTGAGGATGGTACAGAGTACAAAGCATCTAGTAAGTGTATTTGCATGCAGTTTATTCCTTTAAGTATGTGTGACCAGGTGGGAAAAGCTGC